TTGCCACAGCACCGTGTGTATGTTCATGCTGGCCAACCATCCCTTAAATCCAGGCTTTCTCAGTGCTGTGGCAGTGCCATAGTCAAGTGCAGACATAAACGTTGACTCAACAAAAGTTTTCCGTTTTAAAAAAGAAAAAAGAAAATGATAGTCTACTGTCAAGCCAAGTACCATTCAAGTATGTAAGTCTTGGAGAGTGATATGGGCACAATTTTAAAGTTTAATTGGCAGGATAGTCAAAGGCACAGGTGGTTATAGATAATACCATGGATTAAATGTGAGTAAGCCTATAATGAGTATAATTAGTTGCATACATAATGATGTAATCAGTATAACAATGAACTTTAATGTACTGATTAAGAGGAATGATGATCAGTGTATAATGTAAATAGTAGTGGACTGAGAATAGATCCCTCTGGTACTTCTTTGGTACTGGTACCTCTTAAGAGGGCTTGATTTACATTGCATTAGATTAAACATGATAAGTTCTCCCTTTATGCAAAACATGGAACTAAGTGAGTGAGGCATTGTTTTTGCTTATAGACTGTAAAACAGGGGTTCCCAAACTTTGACCCCTTTGAACCCTGTCTGACGTACCCCCATAGCACTGTCAGATGAACCCAAGTACCTCTTCATCAACGCCACCCTTCACGTTTCAAATGTGTTCATTTGAACTGTTTTAATCTGCATGCTATAGCTATTGAGTACATAAAGCAATAATGTTTTTATAAAATAAACCAATGTTTAGGTTGGTTTGGTCAAGTTTATCTGTTAATTTACGGATCTATTTCAACCATATATCCATTAGTTTTAGCAATTTATTCCAACTGTTTATCCGTTGCATTTAGCAAACTATTTGAACTGTTTATCCACTACTTTTAGCCAATGGTTTATTCGTTATCTTTAGCTATATATTAACCAATTATCCATTACTTTTAGCTAACTTAGACCTCTCTGCTCAATTGGTTTGGAGACAATGTTTGAAATAGGTGAAATAAGCAGCATTTGTTTTTACGTAATTCAAGAAAAATAAGTTTAACCTCTTGTCTGTCTTTAATGTTTTTTTCCCTTGATGCTGTAAACCTACTGATTTCACAATTTTCCCCAACTGCTATTAAGGATTGTCACAACAATGCACATTTAAAATACCTTTCACAATTGACCCTTCGCTAAGCCACGCCCCGAATACGCAGCTGGCCAATCACAGCGCAGTATAGGACTCGCTCTAACTGAGGTCCGACACTTTCATGGCTGCGCACCATTGACTGTAATGCAAAAGGCGTCGTTTTCTAGCTTTTTTTGGCTGTATTTTTCTAAGATATGGTCAAACGCTGTTCCTGGGGCACTTGTAATAGTTACAGTCGCTACCCAGAGAGGTTGAAAGGAGAAGTACGATTTATTCTCTTTCCAAAACCTGAAATAAATCCAGAAAAATGTCTGCTGTGGATTGTTCCTAATGTTAGTTAGCTAACGCTAGCTAAATTCCTACTGAATGTAACGCCCTGCTGTTCTGCTTTTTAATGATTGTAATAATGAATAGAGGCCTACCCAGCTTTACAGGAACAGTGTTGTTGTCGTTCATATCGTTGTCTTCTGTCTCAATCGTCGGGGTTCACTTGTACTGTGTGAGTGGTAGGCTTAAGCTTCTATCTTTCATTTTTTTCTCGGTCTGTTTGAGTTGGTTTGACAGCCTGAATACAACCTTCAAATGTATAATGACACTGCAAAACTGTCTGCTTCTTTCTGAGATCGCTTTTTCCAACAAATTTGACAATATTTCTCCGGGAAGTGCCGTAATAGACCGTGGCAGCGCCGACAGTTTGTCGGACTTAGCAACAGTAACTTAGGGGGCGGGACTTAGTTAGCAAAGGGTCAATTGCTGTCAAACTTTGCCTCAATTTGTGATATTTCATTCTTCTATTCAACCCCAAATGTTTCATACACATGCCTCTTTTGTATGAGTTTAACTGATGAAATGATAAATGATCAGCAGCGTAGGTTATTTTCAGTTGAATGACCAACCCATCCTTATGCATCTCTGTGTCATTCTCTCGTTGTCTTCTTCAGTTTCAAGACCATGGATTCAGGTTTTGGCAGGTTTGTTGGGTCATTTGTGGGCTTTCTGAAAAGATTTAGATCCTTTGTGTAGAAAGTATGCATGTGTGATGACAGTAGAAGTTGGATTCTGCTGTTAACTTTAAAGAAAAACAAATCTGTAGCTACACATTTGTGAGTGTTTCAGTTTTGTGTGAACCCAGTAGTGTTGGGTTCAGATAGCTGAAGCCACTTGGGATCCAATTAAATAGATTTCTCGGATTTATTGACCTTTGAGTCATATTTTATTTAGCCTCTAATATTTGTTAGCAGTTTTAGAAGTTGTGTTAAATCGGCTTTTGTTAAACAAAATAGATGAAAAGTATGATACTAACAATATAATGCAAGCATTTCAAATAGTAAAACCTAAATCTCCCTCCATTCATTTGTTCATTCACTCCTAATCTGTTTTTTCTGACATTGTTTGTTATAGTTTTCTGTCCTTGTATTTTCCCCGAGTTGAAGTGCGTTCAACATTCCATTCAGGAGTGCTGTTGTGTTGAGCCCAAAACATACTGGCACTGTAGGCTGTGTGTGAAGATGGCTGTCTGTACTATTCTCTACATAAACCCACTTCACACACACAGCTGCAATTTTAAGAAATTGTTTTATTTTTTTCAGACTCACTCCTCTTCCTGGCATATTCAGGCTAACTTGATTTCTTCTCTTGTCAGCTGAGAACATGCCTTCTTCTGAGGAACTCAAATACCCGGATTCCTATAATCAATAGTCTCAGAATTATAAAGATATTTTAAAAACCTTTCCTGATGAGCAGATGTTGGCTCTTCAGGTGAGGAATCAAGTCAACAGAAGAATTCCTGAATCCAAGCATCATTCCAGATTTACTGTACTTTATTTGCTTTATATTAGATGGTTACTATGCCCTGTGGATTTGTTGCCGTGCTGCATCGCAGTGCCTCTATTTTGTGCATGTGACACATAATGCTGCCTTGAGCTGCAGAGGCAGTGTGTTTTGGACTTGAAAGTTGGAGCTGTGGCTCCCTGGTGACTAGTGTTTCCTGCTGCTGCATGTTTCTCTCCCTCTTCTACTGTCTCATCCATTATCAATACAAGACGACTCCCTTCATCTATGAATACGCTAGCCACTATCTGAAGCTGTGAAGCAATCTGAAAAACTCCTAAACTTTTTGATGTGTTGTACTTCTGTCTTTGTGAGGACCGATGTGACTTTTAGACATTTTTGGAAGGTGAGGAAATTTTGTCTGGCCCTCATTTCATTCTTTCAAAGGGCTGTTTGAAGGTTAAGACTTAGTTTTAGGGTATTTGGTTTAAGGATATGTCAAAGGTTGGCTTTAGACATATAGTGTTGATGGTTAAAGAATATATCTGGTTTGTTACAACGTCAGCCTTATTTAAGTGGGTTTTATGATAATTTAAATAATAATTTAATAATAATTTATTTAAAATCATCATCTTTTGTGAACATTGTACACACCACGTTAATTGCTGAGATCTAGGATCACACCATCTAAGTATAATGAACAGGAGCAGTCAGATGTTTGGATATGTTGTGAACAACGCAACAGTTTAGTATAAAAAACACTTTATTTGCGGGTAAAACTTAAAGTGAGCACACCTATAATGGTAATAATCCCTCATTGCACATACATATTGTAATTACAGTCTGCTATACTATGGGCTTGTTTACAACTTGTTTGATACTCATAGTAAACCTTATTGCATTACATTTCAGTATCTTAAGAGGAGGGGGGGGTTCTATAATGATGATAATGTTATATGGTAGAACTAAATAAAGAACACCCTCAGGCTACAAAATAAAAAATAAATTCCATTTTGTACAGATGGCACGTCGCAGCCTGTGGGTACAACTGACCGCCTTTTTCAATGTAGCCTTACTAGAATTAACCAGAAAAGTGGACAAAACTCAGAAAATTAATCAAAAAGGACAGACAGTAAATAAAAAGAGCTGTGGACACTGTGACAGGTGCAACAAACATTATTAGGCTATGTAAATTAAATTACCTGACACTTCTTATTGAACTAGAGCATCACCGGGAGATGTACAGTATAAACAGTAGACATTCCACAGCTGTGGCAGCCACAAATTAAAAAATAAAGAGCTTGAATAGTTTCCAGCATCATGGATGCGTGCTCGGGATGATATTGCTGCCAGTTTGTCCCAGTGGTCACTCACAATATTGCAACAAAAACAAAATTCTGTGCGGCCCCAAAAAGCATTTTCACCTCAGACCACCATTATAAATGGTACGTCTGTAAAACTGCTGAAAGGAGGAGGACACCTCCAACTGCAAACAAGGTAAATTATTACTCTTTGTATGATGCATTTTTAAACCAGGTTTAAATAAGTGATGAATTACATTTGGAAAAACTTGTGACAGTAACAAGAGTACATGTAATTGGTTACTTCTACCCCTGATATTATTATTGCTGATAAAAATGATATACAAAACTACAAAAATAAGATCCAAGTTGTAATGAGGTGGAAGAAACCTTTCACGTTAGGGTTGGGGCTACTGATTTCAGTAAAGGTCCTCACAAGTATAGGAATACAAGTGTGTGTGTGTGTGTGTGTGTGTGGATTGACAGTAGACAGTGTTACAAACAAGGAGAAAAAGAAGTGGTGCAGTTGTGGCTCAAGGTGTGAATGTGTCTGTTTTTGTGCTGTCATGTTTCTCATGAACAGAAACATGTACTGATGCTTAGACAGTAAACAGGCTCCTAACATTATTATCCTAATGGTTTCTTGATATTTTTTTATTTTAATCTTATTTTTTTATATAATTACATTTACCTTTCCCTGTGACTTCTCCTGAACTGCAGGTAGATGCCATAAAGATCTGACCGGGACCTACACTTATTTTCAGTCTTCCTCTCTTTGTAATTTCTGACTCTGATTCTTTTAGGTTTAACTTTGAAGATGAGACGCCAACAACCAACTTTGATACGTTCCCAGCAGCCATCCTCACTGTGTTCCAGGTAACACACACACACGTGCGCACAAAAGGTGCACTTGACACCGTCTGAGCAAATGAGAGAATATTGACTTCATGGAAAAAGAAAGATTGTTAACAGTCATTTTAATTAGAGGGAATGACTGGTCTGTGTACCTTCTGTCCCCTAATGAGCCCGCTGATAATCCCTCAATTAGTCTGTGCTCATAACCCTTCACTCTGTAAAGTAATTTAATTCTACACTCTGCAAGATTTGCACGGTGCTTTACAACCCGCCCCATATCCCCCGTGTCGTTCTGACTCTTTTGTCTTTCTCAGATACTGACTGGCGAGGACTGGAACGCCGTGATGTACCACGGGATCGAGTCTCAAGGAGGCGTTCGCCGCGGCATGTTCTCCTCCATCTACTTCATTGTCCTCACACTCTTTGGAAACTGTATCCTCTTTGACATCACTTTATTAAAACTGCAGACTGAGTCAGACGGAGCAGGATCAAAAGGTGGAAATAGTTTTAGCTTGAAAACGGTTTTAATTTCTTCTAGGCGTGACCAGCTCCTCCATTTGCTTTGGATTGAAGGTAATTAGTGTCCATCAACAACATACTCAAATAACTTTGCAACGTTTAATATTCATACCTTAAATTTTCTAAACTCAGGTTGAATTATTAAGATGTTTTTAATGTTGCTTGGAACTGGGCCACCTCCTAAAAGTTTAAACCCCCACTAAAGGCATGAAAAGAGTTAATTTTCTGGCAAGCTTGAATGTGTTTAACAGCAATAATGTTGCAAACCCTCTGGAGGGCAGTGGGACGCATTTAAAACAAGGAATTTATCTTGCTTTTTTAATATCGACCCTGAACAACAGTCCGCCCAAATTTGACTGACAGATTTAAAGGCTTTGTTTCTAGTTTGGTGAGGAAAAAAAACATTGCACATTTCATCACAGGATATATACGGTACATCTATATTTTATCCTGAGTCCTGTTATTCAGACACCCTGCTGAATGTCTTCTTGGCTATCGCTGTCGATAACCTCGCAAATGCACAGGAGCTGACTAAGGTAGGCTGGGTCAGACTGTCTGAATGTTGTATTTGAAGACACGTTAAAAACATAGTGAAACATGTCAAGCCACCACCTGAGAAAAGCCCTACATTTGCAGAGGGCATCAACATGTCGTAATGTATTTTCATGGAGTGGTTCTCATTGGCTAAAGGATGAAGAGGAGCAGGAGGAGGCGGCCAATAAGAAGCTCGCCCTGCAAAAGGCTTTGGAGGTGAAGGAAGTCAGCCCGATGTCCGCAGCCAACATCTCAATCGCTGCGTAAGTGTCCAAGCATCTCTCTCCCCTGACAGCAGCTCTGTTAACCCACACTGGAGATAAATGTCCCTTTTGTCATTCAGTGTGTTGTCCTACTGTATGTTCTTCCCTCTCAGTCTGATACGTATGTATGTACTGTGTTTAATGTACCTCATCTGCTCCCACTATGAGAGTGCTCCTGTGGTGTTGCCTTGTTTATCACGCAACATTGTCTACCTTCTTTAAGAGTAGACGCAAGTGATGAAGCATGTTAGTTTCTGCCAGCGGTTTTCACTTACTTTCCCTTATTTTTCTTCTTATTTATTAACTCCACAGACACAAGTCTGTTTCCCCATTAAAGCCTAAATCTACATTTTGCCTCTTTAGTGACAAAATGTAAGTCAAGTAATGTTAAACTATCACAAAGATGGTGGAGTGTTGGAAGGTTTTGTAGAACCTTAGTTTTTAGATAAAGTGCATTTAAATGATTTATTAACAGTAACTTGGTAGATAACAAAGGGGGGGGAGGGGGTTATATTAATAATTACAAAGTACAAATACTCATTGTGGTGGTACTTTATCATATTGGGAAATGAAAAAGTGATATTAAGCCACCTCTATTCCAATATACAGATGAATAAATAAATTACACACTGAATTAAAGGTGCCTTTCATAATGGATCAATGTTTTTAAGAGTGGGCCAACATGGATGTAAGCAAAGCACAGTTTAAAATAAAAATGGAAGAGGAAAGAAATTCATTCAAAGTTGTCTGCAAGAACACTCTGCAGGGTACTTTTAATTCAAACCCGTTTTGGATACCGGCTTTAAGACTAATTTGCCGAATTAATAAAATGATGATTCTAGGTCAGCACAGTTTCCATTTGAGAATGTCATTATATACAAATGTTTTCACCCTCTGGACTTAGGAAGACAGAGACAGAGGAAACATCTGAACAGCGAGCCATTAAGCGCAATAAGGCAGGAAAGTCAACTAGCCCTATGAACGAGATAGAAGAAACCCTTAATCTCCGTTGTCAGAAGTCAGAATCTTCTCTAATATGATAATGACAGGGACGTCTTTCTAGACCCAGATAGTTCTTGTCATGCTAAAACTTCTGATCCGCCCCCACTCCACCACAACTCTGTGATTGACAGGTCCGGGGTCTCGTGTCAACGCGGAAATTAATTGTGCCTCCAAATTCAGCCTATTTTTAGAGCCTGGATGAACACTGAAATTATGAGAGTCTGTCAGGAGAAAGCTGGAACGTTTTCATCCTTATCAGTGATTTATAGCTGCATTATGTGATGTTGGAGGTTAAAATGTGCCTTCCTTTGATACCCATCTGTTCCGACAATGCGGTAAAAAATAATTATTATGGACAGTGTCTATATTTGATTGTGTGTTATAATTCTGTGCAGCCCTTTGTGTGACGTGCAGTTTCACACAGTCCTTTATTCTTTTGACAAAGTGATCATCTTTGGTTCACACTCGCTCCTTAATTGCCGTCCTACTCACTTTACTCAGTCGAAGAAATAGGTCAATTAGACTGTAGAAAATGATCGGCTCTGTAAATCATAGGTTAGCTAACTTTCCGATCTTTCCTCTTTTCACTGTCATTACTGTTATTGTGTGACTCTATGCATTACTTTCAGTGTTCTCAGAATATTTAAATTTGTACGTTGAACAGTGTAGTAACGCCCTAGTGAGTGAGCACATAAACAAGTGCTTTTGTTTTAAATAAACTGTTTTTTTTGTGCATTATGTGTGCTGTTTCAGAGTAACGCAGGGTTTCATTTCAAAATGACTGGAAAAATCAAAAAATCCAGATTAGAAATTATTTTGCAATCTAAATATATTTAAAACTCTTACATTTGTAATATTTCAAGATCATTTCAACTTGTGCTTTTCTTCTTCTTTGGAATGAAACTCCTGGACCATTTTCAATTTAAGTTTTTTGTCATTATGAAAATGTTTCCGCTAACGAACACTCCTTTGTTGCTGTTGTGTTATTGAAGTAGTTGCACAGATTAGTCCTTTACTGTAAGACAGGAGGGGACAGGTGGATGGACAGACAGACAGACTGTCCACCTGCCCCCTTCAGATTTGTGTCTCATTTTTTCTTTTGTTTTTGTTCTGCATGTACAGTTTTGTAAAGCAAAATCGAGATGCACTCTCTCGCAGGTCGTCCATCAACAGCATTCAGTCACCGTGAGTTATCACTCTCTGTTACAATATTCTCCTCCTCGTCTCCTCTCCTCTTCTCTCCTCCCCTTGTCTTGTTTCCTCTCCTTTCTTCTCTTTGTGTCCTCCTCGTCTCTCTTCTTCTGGTACTATTCTCGTCTCCTCTTCTTTCTGGTTGTCATCTGCTCTTCTCTCTATTTTCATTGTGTTCCCTCTTTTCTCCTACTTTTTTCCTCTCTTCTCCTGTCCCCTCCTCTTTCCATTGTCCTCTTTCTTCTTCTTCCCTCCTTGATTCCTTTCCTCTGTTGTATATTGTCTTCCTCTCTTCTCGTCTCCTGGTTTCCTTCCACGTTTGTCTCCTCTCTTCTCTTTGTTCCTCTCCTCCTCTGGACCTCCATAAACCTAAATAGTAGTCTATCATGTCTTCATTGCTGGTAAAGTGAAATGTATTTATGATTATTAAAAAAAAAAAACAAGTAATCACAAAGTGCTTCACAGAGCAGAAGACATAATTACATGTAAATAGCTCAAGCCCATAAAACATTTTAAGCTTTCAGGTCAGTGTGAGTGTAATTTTGAGTGTAAATCGCTGATACACAAACACAGTTATGTCTCCCTCTGGCCTTAACTAACCATTGTGTACTTTGCTGATGGATGCAGCTCTTCTGCGTTGGCGCCTACAGTAATTCATCTTCCGCTCTGTGCTCTCTGATGTGAATAATTTGCGTATAAATGTTTAATTTCTCTGAGCGTTGCCATCACCGCAGGCAGTTTGACATTTCCTGTCTGTTTGTTATGGTAGACCCCAGGACTTCACTTTAAAAGACAATATGAGCCGCTGCGATTAGCTTTAAGTTTCGATCGATGCAAGTGCAGATGGAAGCCCAGAGACGCTAATTTAACATCTCACCTCTTTGAGATAACATTATTACCAGAACTGATTTCTTTGACATTGCCCTTCTTGTGTGTTTTTCAGTGTGTGCGCGTGCTTCGTAATATATCTCACAAAATAACACTCCTATCCCCTCAGCGTTACATCTACACACACAAACCTTTCCTGGATGTCTGTAGCTCACCTGTCTGTGGATGCCTGTCCCGTGTCCTCTGTGTTTTCTGTCCATCTGTGTCTTCTGTCTATCTTTTAGGAGTTATACAGTCTACTCCTCCCCCGCCCGACGAATCTTGAGGTACAGGTGACCAGATGGAACAAACTTAACTAACCCATAAAGCCCCATGTAAATAAATCATAGAAACAGAACCCATATGCACTGCCTTCACACACATGATAGATGGAAATAAGGACACATCAAAGGTTGTGTTTTTGATTATTTCCTCTGCTAAAGAGAACCTCATGTTCCTCAAAAAATCTCATTTCACTCATTAGTTTGATCTCTTACCAAATCTTCCCCATTCAGGAATCATCTTGTTGTTTGCCTTAAAGAGGATAGCCCATAGCATGTTTTTCATGTTTGCGCCATTTACACATGACATGAGTCAAACAGAATTTGAAAATGTATTTATTTTTGCCAGATGAGTGACATATCAGACAAATCAAATTTTTGACAGCTGCTGGGAAGCCAACATAATAAAAAGACCTGTTGTCTGTTGTAGGAGTTAAACAAGAGTAACAGAACTGCATGTATATTTGACATAGTGGATCAGATTGACAATCACAAAAGCATTGCACTATTTACTGTGCTTTCCATCGTCCCATTATATGATATTTTATGCACAGGGGCTTTCCTATTGTTTATTGTTAGTTGGGAATGTGGATAAAACGGCTCTTTGGCCTCAAACATTGTGGCAAAGTTTCAAATTATATATATTTCACAGTTTTGTGTTTAAGTCTCACATTAGCAGCAGTTGAACTTTAGAATCTATTACTGTTCTCCATCTCATACAGTGAAATAGATTCAGAAAAGGATCTCTTTGTGGTCAGTATGGACAGGAGGAACAGCAAATGGACATTTTTTCAGTGCACATACAAAAGTGAACCTAAGTCTCATATCTGATAGGTGCACCATGCAGAAACTCAACTAAACTTTTCAATAGATTTTTACAACGAGCAGGTGTCTTAGTGGGCAACACCAGAATTGTGATCTAACCGTATATTGTGAAATCAAGCCTGGAATATTTTCCTCTTGAGGAATGTCTGGGATTGATAAATTAGATGCTGTCGTTTTAAAGACCTACCTCTGATATCTCTTAAGTTACATGTGCACAGCTTTACATTTGTTACATTAAATCAAATATAGAAAGAAAGTTCAGTTATGTAAATCTTTCATTTCGGCTAAACAAGTTTTTTTTTGACTATATGAAACAGGTTTTAGGCAGTTATGCGCATCTGTTTTACGCCGGGCCACACAGCCTGTGTGTGTGTTGCGGTACGTCTTGCGTTTCATTTCCCAACTAACTGGTTAGAGCAGCCACACAGCCTGCGCTGTGACAATGGTGTGGTGATAGTCTCATGGACATCACACCAGCAACATTACACCTTTCGCTACAGTTTGAATATCTGAATAACATCTGAATATGTCAGACATGAAAAACCTCCTGTATCTGTTCCAGATTAAAAGCACTCTAGCATTGCTGTGGACACAATTACTTCATTTGTTAACGAGGATTTTATTGTGTATTGTATTTATCAAAGGCAAACTCAACTTGTCTGTGTGCAAGATGCAGCAGTTCAGCGAGGGAGCCATCACGCTCGGGTAGAGGTGGTCAGCATGGCCCTAGTGTCAGTCCATAAAAAGTATGCTTTGAGTCAGTTCTTAGTCATTTGAACAGTTCAAGGAGGAAGCCTTGAAAATCAATGCATGAAAACACTGCTTTTCCACAACAAAACAGTAGTAAGTCATTCAGAGAAGAAAAACTTACCACATTACTACAGATATTTTGCACCACGCGCCTGGTAGTTGGTGCAGGTTAAATCAGTTAAAAACATGCTAATAAAACTACCTCACCCAGGCAAACCCTAACAACTCTGTAGAGACAGTATGCATTTTGATCACCACTGGTGAAAAGTTGCCAGAAGTGTGACAGAATGTTTTTTAAAAGCTTCTATTAAAACCACGTGGGAAGACTTTAAGGTTCAGGGCTCAAAATAAGGTCATGATCTGGTCAGTCATGACAACAGAATGTAAAGGTGCTCAGCATTAGACAAACTACCATCTTAGCTGGGAAATGAAAAATAATCATATTTTGCAGTGGATATCTAAGCTACTTCTCCATATAACACTCAAGCATGGTAAGTGAAAGCTTGACCATGGTGAACATTTGTGCTAATGCATCCATAGACCACCTTGTGCCTGGATCTTTATTACTTACGGGCTTGAAGACTAGAATTAAATAAATATATTATATTATATATTATAGAGGATGGTGTGACTATGGATGAAATTGTGGATGATGATGTTCAACCAAAGCCCATACAACAAAACTACTCATGAAGTACAGAAAAACACGACACATGAACATTTTCATATGATCTTGTCCTGTGGGTTTGATTCCTGTGTGCAGTAAGGAGCAGCAGCGGTCAGCAAAGGCCATGTCAGTGTGGGAGCAGAGGACCAACCAGCTGAGGAAACACAACATGAGGGCGAGCACCGAGGCTTTGTTCAACGAGCTGGACCCCGAGGAGCGCCTCCGGATTTCCTCCGCCCTCCACCTGCATCCTGACATGAAGACCCACCTGGACCGGCCACTCGTGGTGGAAGCCAGGGACGGCGACAAACCCAGCAAGCCCCCTGATGGGGGACAAGAGGAGGCAGCAGATCCACAGCAGGATGGGTTGGGAGACAACTTTCACACGCACTCCAGAAGGAATCACAGGCACCGCGACAAGAACGGGGAGAGCAGGGATGGAGGCAACGGGCGGGGAGGGAGGCACCACACCCATCACAGCCGGGGCAGGGATCACAACGGCGACAGTGCCCCGACAAAAGAGAGGAGAGGGGAGAGAAGCCACAGCCGCGATGGAGGGCAGGGACACAGGCACCACCACCAGGCCGGCTCCCCTGAGGAGGAGGCCAATGACTTACGAGGAGGAGGAGAAGAAAGGGGGCATCGCCACCATCACTCCCATCGTCCACTGAAAGAGGGGAACGGGATGATAGCAAATGGTGCACAGGGAGAGCGCAGGGGGAAGGGGGGAGGAGGAGGGGATATTAATGGAGAGAGGAAGGGACGCTGCTCTCGTATGGTCAGAGCTCAGTCTACACTGGATGGAGAGGACTCCAATAAGAACAAGAATGGGACCAAAGGTAACAGGTAAGACTGCAGACATTATATTATATACATCAAGATATACTGTATATTATATTGTTGGTGATATTAAATGTTTTTTCATAATTAATAACTTTACAGTGGCCTTACTGTAGACTGTTATCCTACATCACAATCCAAAAAAACAGAAGTGCACAATATAGCTGTTTTTATTTACAAGCTGGGTCTTGTTTTTTACTTTTGACATGTTGCGCACCAACTTTATTGCTGCTGTGTTGCCTGTAAAGCTCTGTCTAGCATTGTCATCATCTGTCCTGGCCACCACCTGTCTCTGCAATGAAACTGATGAGTTGAATATTGTCATCTGGTTCAAATAACAGAAAAATCAATAGACTCAGGTTGTAAAAAAACCCAAAAACAACTAGGCAATCTTGAGATGGGATTATAACAACCGCGACACCCGCCAACATGTTGACGTGAGTACTCAGTGGTCATCACTACGTTATTACATGAGTACTCATGGGTCGGACCACACGCATCTTTGAACTTGGACTTCATTTTGACCTCATCTACACTACCTATAACTATAGTTTTGTGACTGTATCTGGTGTTCTTGTGATGCTGTTGCGTTGACAAAATCTGTCCTAAATCTGACTAAAAACTACTTCGGTGTTAGTTCCCACTACAGTAAGAGTCTCCTGCCATGATGACGCACACACAGACTCACAAGGTGAAAACAATACCAGCCACGCTGTCTCGGCTGGTAAATAATAGATAATGATGATAAAAACTATATATATGCAAATGTTTTCACCTGGTGGCCCTGCTATGAATAATAAGTGATAGGACAACAAAAGACAGAAACAGATAAGCACTTTTTTGCTATGATCTTAGTGATTGCCCCCCCTCCCCCCAAAAAATCTCACAGTTTCAGTATTTTTTTTGCTAAAGCACAGTTCTGAATATGAATTTACAGGCATACATTATGTAACATACTGTACTTCTGTATATTCTGAAATATCAGAATATGCACTGTGCCTTAATTATACAGGTCTTTGTCACTGGAAATGCTCTAATGTAGCATCTCAGTGTCAGCTCATAGTTTTTCTTCTCTCACTGTGATGCGTCAAAGCTATGGGTGAATGTGCTTGAGATGCACATCATTTCACTTTGGCTCTACACTTTCTTTTCATCTCCTCATACTAAATAGTCAAGATGATTTCTTATTATTTGGAACAGAGAGCAGCAGGGTCCAAAATTGTCTTTTTGATCACTGCCCGCTGTATCTGTGAAAGAGACACATTGGATACTCAATTCCTCCTTATTGAGTAAATATAGGATTGAACAGTTTGCAAAAGAAATATCAGATTTTTTAGAATATGAATATTTTGAAAAATTATATTCACAACCTCAGGTCGTCAATGTCCAGAAAATGGAGACATTACTTAAATCATTAAACTTGCCAACCCTTACGACAGAACGATAAAGCACTAATCTCACAGGTAACAAAGAAGAAATTTACTCGGCTATAGCCAGATTGAAAGCTAAAAAATCTCCGGGGACAGATGGATTCACTTCTAAATGGCACAAAAGTCTGAAAGAGGCTCTGACACCTATTTTATTAACTGGGTTCTGACAAAAGGGGAAACTCCAGAAGCAATCATTTCAGTAAGGGAGGGAATGAAAAATGAGATACTACAGATAGCAAGAGACAGAAACTACAGACCAATAAGTTTGCTAAACTTCTATAACAATTGTTAAATCAATAAAAGATCTTATCAGACATATAAATAAAATAAAAAATACAGGCTATGCTGATAAGTTTGGATGGAAAGTCCTATCTAATGTTAAAAAGAATTCGGGGTTTAACCAAGTAATCATTAAGACATTAGAAACCCCAATCAGCAGGTCATCAGCTGGACTGAAAATCAATGGCAAGCTCACTGATTACCAGTCGTGACAGTGTGGCTGGTATTGTTCATATGTCTGTCTGTCTGTGGACAGATTTTCAATGTAATCATGTCATAACCATGCACGATGCAGTCACAAAGCTTTACAGGTGTGTAGCTGAGATCGAAATGAAGGCAGATATCAAAGATGGGTGTGGTCTTAACCATGAGCACTTATGTAATAATGTAATAATGTAGCAATGACTACTGAGTACTCATGGGTCAGAATGTAAACATGTTGGGATCTCTACTTCTCCTCAGTTAGAGGGAGACAGAGCGGCCCGTTAAGTCCACTTCTATTCGCAATTGTTACTGAACCAAAGTCACAATAGATTAGACAGAGCAACATTATTAAAGTGCTGGAGGAATAAGGGTCATACTCCAGCTATAAACTAAATGGGAAAAGGGGAAATTATAGCAGATATTAATAGATATGATTTAATTTCTTATCTGAATATCAGTTCACATATGGTAAAGATGAATATCCTACCAAGACTTGTATATTACTTCTAATCAGTAACTATTGAAAAAAGTATTTTTGGGGTGGCATAAAGTTATTTCTAGATTTATTTGGTGCTGGAAAAACAGACAAGAGTGAAATATAAAACTCTACAGGTACCAAAGGAGAGAGGTGTACTGGATTATTATAGAGCAGCTCAATTTCAGCCACTACTGTAGGTGTCTGGTGTAAACCCCACTATAGATCACTAATAGAAAGCTCAGTGGGGAAAGGACCACCGGTTAACAAATAGCTGGAGACCCTTCATTAAAACTAGCTCCTAGCTCTTTATGGAATTAAATCATTAATAAGCGCCGATTGAAGGGCTGGACTGAAATCTTCAAATGGTTTCGCTATGACCTGTACATCATGCCCAGTAAATATGACACGAGGTTTAGAAGCTGGACTGGAAATTGTCTTAATGAGTATTGCTCACTTGGGGGTGGCTGGGGCTCAGGAGGAAGAGCAAGTCGTCCACTAATCAGAAGGTCGGCGGCTCGATCCCCAGCTCCTCCAGGCTGCGTGTTTCTGTTCCTGATGAGCAGTTTGCACCTTGCATGGCAGTCACTGCCATCAGTGTGTGGATGGGGTGAATGTGACATGTAGTGTGAAGCGCTTTGAGTGGTCAGAAGACTAGAAAGGCTCTTTATAAGTATTGTCCATTTAGGTACATATGAGCTTTCAGGACTGTAAGGGAATCAGGATTACAAATCACAACTTTTATTGGCAAGAAATTTCCAAAAGATGACACTTCACTGGGTAAAGAAATCCTTGATATTTTTCAAAAAGCCTATAAAGGTGCTACTTGCAAAAATAACTTAATTTAAATTATTTTTTGCTCTTCAAAAGTTAAAAAGACACCATACTTGAAAATTAAAAGAAGATAGGATGCAGAGGGTAATTTCACACTAACACTGGACTAATGGAACAGGTTCTGCAGACAGCAATGGTTAATGACACGCTCTCCCTCCTAGAGAGAATTCATCGGGAAGAATGTGACTTCTTTCTTCTGTGCTCCAGCGCAAAAGACTAAATACTTTTGTCCCTAAAATCATGTATTTTGGTGTGATCTAGAAGCACTTCACCGTGCAAAGCAGGCTATATACTTGTTGAGGGTGTTGTTACTGGCATGCCAAAAGGCTTTGACCATACATACATACTAACCATAAATGACTGGAACAAATTGCCTTGGATTTTATAGTGCAGCAATATTCTTAGATTAAGGGCCTATCTTCCAATTTAAAATAATTTTCCTTTGTGCAGAACTATTACAGGTTGATATGAAAGTGTACATACCTATATGGATGTGTGTATGTGTGTGTAAGTAGGTGTATGCATGTGTATATCCAGTGTATCCAACAAAATTAATTCTCCATGAGTTGTTTTTGGCTTAAATTTAATATTCTAAGACACAATGTAAGACATAGTAAGAATAATAGACTATTTGCATCAGTTTGCAGTTATTAATAAACACCACTAGTGTGTGTTTGGATACCAGCAACAACTCTTTCTAGTTTGTTGCCACAATCTTTCTCATAGGGATCTCATTTGGCAGAAAAAGCTTGAAGCATCCTGAGAGCAAAATATAATGATGCCTGCGAAAAGATAAACATCTCTTTCCCCAGGGAGAGGCAGTCAGATGCGGACGAGGATGGCCTCGCCTCCAGTCCTCTGCAGCCAGTGTGGAGTAACTTGAGTCTTGGAGAAAAGCAAGAAGATGCTGACAACCAGAAAAACTCCACCAGGGCCAGCCAGGCCGGCCTCAACAGCGACGCCATACACATCCCTGTCACCATCACTGCCCCGCCTGGAGAAACCACCATCATATCCAGTGAGTACAGCACTGATGATCCAAATGTGTCAGAATAAGAACTCAAAAATAAATAAATAAATAAGCCTGAGGACTGTTAGAATATATAGCCATGCTAGCATCTCTGTGAGGCTGTTTGGCACAGCAATGCTTTGAGTTGAATGCCAATGTCAGAATGCTAACATGCTCACAGTGACAATGCTAACATGCTAATGCTAAGCAGGTAAAACGCCATGGCTGTTTCTCAATACCAAGTTCGGACTTCTGTACGTTAAAGCTCGGACTTGGCAAGTTCTGCTCGGGAGTACAAACTTCCAGGAACGGGAGCACGCAGTCAGTCATTCAGCAATTGGAACAGCAGTGGACTTAATGATGGCCAGACCCGTTAGCAGGCGGGACCTCACATCTCCGAAAACGTCATAGCAAATTTTTAAATCAGCTCTGTCTTGAGAAATCAGCCACATATTTGTAGTTTAAACAACTATATTCCTGCATAAAAAACTCTATATGTAAGACAAGAAAAGCATTTCCGTTTTTTGCCGGCGAAATGCATTCTGGAATATCTGGCGATCCGAAGTCCACACAAGTCACCACCGAGCAGCGAGAACACATCCGGGTATTTGACTGTACTTGGCTTGATGCGGACTTTTGAATTGGAACAGTACTTTGGCTGCAACTGATGACGTTTCACAAGTCCACAAGAACACAAGTACAGACAAGAATGCAGATTGAGAAATAGCCCATGTTTACCGTCTTAACTTAGCATGTTAGCATGCTAACATTTTCTAATTAACACTAAGCACACAGTAGAGGAGAGGAGAGAAGAGGTGGACCAACCAACTGAGAGACTTTGCCATCCATAGAGGCATGCTGCTAGCATGGCTAACAATCAACTAACAATTTTTTTCCACAAGCTCATACTACTAGTTTCATTTCTATTCTTTTATTCTATTCTAGTTCAGAAATACTGTACCAGTTTATGGTGACTATTTGACGCCTCTGCAACCACCATTTTATGAGAAATGTCTAATAAGCTGAGTTATTTATTCTACGTTTTTATTCAAATCCACAGATAATGTTTGTGCTTCTTTGAGCTAAATGAGTCTATTTATTTTTCCACACCAGTAAACAATATCGACTCTGACAACTTCCTATTTGGCGAGGACAAGAAAGATCTGGAGGAGGAAGAGGAGGCTAATGGGCCTCGGCAGATCCTTCCTTACAGCTCCATGTTTGTGTTCGGGCAAACAAACCCGTAAGTCATAATTGGGAGGTGACTGAGAGCTATTTTATACATTAAGTGTACTGCTTATTTCTTCAGCCCCATTTTTTACTTCATTAAAGCCTATATATTTGGGGTTGACCTAATGCACAAAAATCACTGTACAAAAATATGATTCCTAATTTGACATTAACAGGGAAGAAAAGATGACCTGCAATATTGAGTTTCAACATGTATATTAATCTGAAAATACCACTTGTTTAGGTGTAGGAGTCTGGAGCATTGTCAATGGGCAGCAGGCACGTTCTAGTAGTAGTTATCAGGATGTCAAATGTCCTCTACCAATGTCTGATACCAATGAGATCACATTCACTTACTTACACATACTCTACTATTTTCCCTTGATGGGTGAAAGATGGGTATTGAGAGGGATCTCCTGGATCAGGAGACGGGGGAAAGCTGCCGGAGCATCTGGTAGTACACAAGGCCTTGAACCATATTCAAACCCTCCATTTCAGAAGTTAACTGCCATCCTATTCTATTACTGAAATGAAAGCTGTGTCTGCTGTATCTCTCCTTTATGCTGATGATGTAATTATTTTGGCTTCAGTAGACAGTGACATCCAGTGCAGACTGGGGCGGTTTGTAGCTGAGGGTAAAAGCAGTTGGGAAGAGTGCCAGCACCTCAAATGTGAGGCCATGGTACTCTGCTGGAAAATTATGGCTCGGTATCCAGAGGGAATGAGAATCTCAAGATCTTATATGAGTGCAGATGCACAGGGATGCAGTCATTGTATCAGACTGTCTTGATGAAGAGGGAGCTGAGGCTGAAGATGAAGCTCTTGATTTACCAGTTGATTTATATTCCAAACACACATGTCATCGTGAACTCTTGGTCAGGTCTGAAATAATTAAATTACAGATACAAGCAGTGACCTTTTAAAAGACCTGTGATACAGTTCCTACCTTTGGTTATGTCAAATTATTAATCCCAGAACATGCAGAAAAAGTAACTTGTTAGTTAGCTTATTGAGTGTCTAACAGAGACTGACATATATCTACACAGTATATATATACTTAATGATTCCATAGAAAGAAATTGCGAGCGCAGATGACCCCGAGTCACGTGGTACCCCTGAGGCTGTCCACTTTTGAACAGTGTTTTGAAGACTAGGCTTGTTGTCCTCTGACTATTATGGGAGGACGTCACCTGAATGTATGTATTGAGCTGTCATTACTCTACACTCTCTAATCTGTGTGTACTTCATATTTGTGTATGCGTGTGGTCATGCAGGGTGCGGCGGCTCTGTCACTACGTGGTCAACCTACGCTACTTTGAAATGTGCATCCTGATGGTCATTACCATGAGCAGCATCGCTCTGGCAGCTGAGGACCCCGTCCAAGCCAACGCACCCCGCAACAACGTGAGTCAGACTGACTTCTAGACTTCATAAATAAACATCTGGAAATACACAACAAACACACTGGTTGGCGGACACATTGTCACACAGACCAGCATTTGCATTAAAATATGTATGCCCACACAAGCACACGAGGATTCACAAACACGTCTCGTTTTGGCTGACCGGCTGATTCATTGTGACTGATTAAGTCCTTCCTAATAGGGCTTGACAGTTTGCCCATATTGAAGAATAAATGGTAGGACACACAAAAACAAGCTGTTTTTGAGTCATTTTTGGTCAAATGCTGTCAATCTGACTTGAGAATTAATTAATAAAATGACAAAAGTGCTGTGTATCCAGTATGGAAAATAATTCTGTAGTTTTTATATCCTTCATCCTTTATCCTTTATATCCTCGTTAGACCGTGTAAGGAATAGGGAGGTAATACAAGCACACAGACATGATTTGAGTTTTTGCATTTTGACATACGAGCACAACTAATTCACATTCTAGTCAGGGGCACAGAGGGAATCTGAGGTGATGTTGCGCGTGTCAGTTTGCGCGTTGTTTATTCATGTGTGTGTGTTGTTGTGTGGGTGTTCGGGCAATGTGTGTTGGTGCAGGGAAGTGCAAAGCCGACAGAGCTTGAGATCTCTGACAGGGCAGAGGAACATGTTGTGCATATCTGGTCCATTCACACACACACACACACACACACACAGTTTTTGCACCCCTCCCCAAACTGAAAACATCTGTCACTGGATCTGTTGACGAGTCATCTCACAGGATAATTTCTTACACTCTGTGTTTGCAGGTTCTCAAATATCTGGATTATGTCTTTACTGGAGTCTTCACTTTTGAGATGGTGATAAAGGTGAGAAGGCTGTCTAAATGGAGGCTCGCTTTGATTTGAGCTCAAAACAGTTCAACAGGGTTTTGGTGATTTGTAGTTTAAAAAACCTCTAGGATTCTAGGTTGGCCTAAATGTGTTTGAAAATTATAACTTTTTTTTACATGTTTAGGTTACATAAACTATGGTTTCAACAACAATTCAATTAGGACTTCATATTGAGATATAGTTGTTTTCAACCACAATTTAGCTTGGCTTTATCTAGCTGTCTTTTGATCTGCAAATCATCAAATCTGTGTTTACTGGGAAGGCTAGCACACAGCAGAGAGCACTGGCATGCCACAGGCATTGCTAATTGGGTTTGAGTGATAACACTCTGTCCTATTTTCAAATACTTTGAATGAAAGCTCTGCATCACTGAAAAGGAATATTAAAACCAGAGGTCTTTTAAAGATTTCCTAAGAAGGAAGGAGATCAGAAAAGTTTCTAGAAGAGGCCTTAAAACAAAGAAACTGGTTGTATCTGTGCATGATCTCTATGATAAATTTTTTACTATTTATTCTGTGATTCAAGATGATTGACTTGGGACTGCTTCTCCACCCTGGCTCTTATTTCCGTGACTTGTGGAACATTCTGGACTTCATCGTGGTCAGCGGAGCTCTTGTAGCCTTTGCCTGCTCGTAAGTAACTTTTCCTTTATTCCTGCAGTGTTGCCGGTCACTTTCTCATCACAGCAGGGTTCTGAATATAATGTATTTCAAAGATTTCAAAGACAACAAGGTGAAACAACAGTTGTATTGTATTACAGTATTTTTAGCTGATGTTACCCTCTCTCCAGTATCCATCCCTGGAGCTGGCTGGCATCCTGACACACCGGGGCTATGTGTCCCTGCTCCTGTTTTTTGCTCTAACAAACAACTCCAATGTGTTCATCCAATTATTCCTCGCAAACTCGTAGGCTTTCGTACTGCCCGGGGTTATCTTGCTGACATGACTACGTCAAACCCATCTTTCATTGTTACATAAGCCAAACTGTGCATGGCTAATGGGCCATGCACAGTTTGGCTTATTGAAGTTTCAAGTCTTTTAGTTAAAAAGCTGTGTTTGTGCTAGAGCTACCTATTTTGTATTGTATTTTTTTTTAAAAACAAGAAAAAACAGAAAGCATAGGGGGAACTTTTCTCTGCCAGGTTCATTGTTTTTTATGTTTGTAAACCTTGCAAGGTATTATCAAGCTTATACGATGCCCACTCCAAAAGCTCCAGCAGCCATCTGTTTGAACTCCTCACAATTGTACCTTTGTGACTCCTCTCATGATTATTTTGAGCAGGAAAAACAGGCTATTTTCCCCGAAACGTACAATAATTACATCTTGACTACCTGCATTCATTATAAAGAGATGGTTTCTGCAGTTTAATATACCTCGCACACTGAGAGATTAAACTGACCAGATCTGTGTTAGTGTCCCGTTATACGCTTTTAACAGACACCTTCCAGTCAATCGGAAATAAATGTTAATCATAGAAACAGTACAAAGGGAGTTAATGAGCTCCTTGAAGCTTACTAACCTGCATCCTGGGTCTCTGGAGTAGGAAGGTGATTACAGATTATTTCAACCAGCGCTGTCAGTCTATTTCACATGTTGTCCTAAAAGTTTGTCCGGACTTTGTCACCTGTGTATTTTTCTTTGTACTGCTTTCTGTCACTCTGATTTCCTCTCTTTCGCCAGCTTTAGATTGGTGCGCCTCTCTGCCTTTTATCTGTTGCTGACTCTGTCTCTGTTCTCTCTCTTTCACTTTTTTTCCTTCCTTCTTTGTTTTTCTGGCGTGGATTCTTTCAGGAGCCTTATGGGGTAATGCCTGTGTATCTATCTGTGTGCATGTCTTCCTGTTTGTGTCTTCTGCTTTACTTCCTGTCCATCTTAGGCAGCTGTGTCATCTGCAGAGTTTATAGACGTGTCTGCAGCTGCCTTCCTCTCTCAGCTCAATGTTAGAAAAAGATGTCGTATTTTGTTATTTGCCATTCTTATCATCACCGCCACAGACACGATCAAAGATACTGGCATTTACTCAGTTTGGATTATGTAACTGTGTTTGTGTTACATCTGTATTTAGGTTACATACAGTAAGTGCAATTACCTGTTTTCCTTTTATCAGATACATTTTATGTTAGTAGGAACAATATACATAATGCACAGCGTGGCAGCACATCATACTGTACTGCCAGAGACAGCCTATTCAAAGGTATTCCAGATTTTTTTGAACACAAAGGATCTGAGTGCTGCTGTCCATAATAAGCACACAAATCAGAAGATGCTAATTGAAAACTCTTAAACAGAGTGCATAGGAAATAATAAGCGTTTCCTTTTCATGTTTATGAAGTACTTAAATTACAATAAAATTGCAGGATCAGGTCAGTAGCTGTCTTAACTGCTAATGTGCTGTTCATTTATAAACACAAATCACATACTAAGAGTATAATAGCACTATCCACTTCTACAGACTTAGTCCAGTATGCTGTGCCATAATATAGCTGGTAGAGCGAGACTCTCTCAGCGAGGGGTTATCAGATTCAACCACTTCCCCTTCGTCCTCCCACCCATGTTCACTTCCTGTCCATCATTTTGTCCCTCCTATCATCTCCCTCATCAACTCGCATTCATGGTATGTAAGCGTGTAACAGGCTACATTCACATTGCAAGGCTTACAGGATAACAACTTGGCTTGTTATAATAATATACTCGGTGTTGATCTGGGAATGCGTTGACATCGCTAAAAAGGCGTTCAGTCAGGTTCAAGAGGAAACAAGAAGAAACAAAGATGAAAAGAACAATAATTGTTGTAAAACCCTAACTGTTGTAAACATCCATCGCAGTTTAACGATGTATTTGCGGGAGCGCTCACTTTCAGTTTAACCTCCGAATAAAAAGATCAACACAATTTGGCCAATCTGTCGGATGTCTCGCTGCCCAGCCGACTCTTTTTTGACATGAAAGTTGTGGTTGCTAGAACCAGTTAAGGTCTTTCATGTTGATTGAAGAAATATGCAGATTTAACAGTTATGTCCATAAGTCAACTTACAACCATCTTTGAATCTGCTTTGATCTCATGGACAACTGTCGCCAATTTTTCTGCCCCTATTTTTGTGACATCCCCATTCTTAAAAAAGTTCTGTGTGACTCAGTTTCTTTCAACAACACCAGACAAGAGTTCTTCATGCGTCCAAACTGTTGGACCTGATCTGAAACAGACCTGTGGAAACCTACCCAGATCCGATATGCATAAATACATTTTAAAAAAGAATTAATTATCCAATCAATTTAATATCTCATTCATTAAAATAATAGTTATTCAGTAGCATGCTTTTTTTTTTTTACTACTTTACTGTCACTAAGTATGCCTGCATTCATTCAGATCCACATGAGATATTGACAGACACATGTAACAAGACCCCACCTGGCCCCATTAGACTTAGTATAATTTGGACCAATATGACTCGGTGTACCCACGAAGACCTCTACACTAGACCTATTTTAATAGCTGAAAAAAACCTGAAACATGGGCGGCAAAATCTCAGTTAGAGTGTATTGATTTACAGAAGCTAGTAAGACAGCATCTGGCCCCGAAGTGACTTCAGGCCTCTAATGCAGTATGTTACAGACAGGCCCATACTGTGTGAAAGTGGCCTAAATAAAGAAGTTTAATTGATTGTGGATTTATTTATTCTTTCTTTAAAAAGATCTGGTCACATATGATGGATAAAATCTGATTTGATTCTTTCAGCTGCAGTGTGAACGTAGTCATTCAGTAGATTGTTCTCATCAATGGTGTCCTCTCGTCTTTGCTTCTCTCAAACAGTCCATGGTGTCACGATATCCATCTTCAGTACACATAATCATTGTAATATTTTATCAGACTTGTCCATTGCTTTGCTCTTTCACAGGGTAATTAATTTAAGTGCTTCTATTTGTGTCTTGTCTTTGTTTTCTTTTCGTGTAGGCCCGAATAACGTCACTGTATCTTCATGTCTGTGTGATATCGGCTTAAAATGTTGATTTGGCTCTGTCTTTCTTTATATGCTTCTTTGCTCTATTTATGTGGGGTGGTGTTTGTGTATTGTGTGTGTATGCTTATCATTGCTTTTTCTCATCAGATCGCAGCAAAGCGTTGCCAGGTGGGAACTGTCCCCTATCTACTTTTTGCTTATTGACCCCTTCCCCCCACATGTGACACACAGAACCGCTCGTCTTGTCAAACTTTCCAAATAAACTTGCTGCCCTCCATCCCAAGTCGTTTGGGATATGATCACGATTTCCCTCGCTCCTTCCTGTCTTCCCTTTTTGAAAAATAACCTCCTGCCCCAATATTGGGACATCCGGACAACAGACAATATTGGGAACTCCACCTCATAGCTTTCAGAAGCCCAACATACAGCTGCTGACACACACTAGTAAGAATCTTTCCGCTTGCAAACTCAAGTGTAAATTTGTATCTAAGCTAAAAAGACCTTCATTCAGTCATTCAGTCACCTTCAGTCATTTCACCTTCATGGAAATCTCCATTAATCTTGACTAAAGTGGGTTTAACTGGTCGGATCACTAAGAGATTATACCCTGGATCTTGATACACGTCCCTGCCCTTCACCTACACCTCTCCTTCTTTATGCAGTGGACTTAGAGGGAGATCGATAAAGGATTACAGCTTCTCACGTGAATTCACCTCAAGTCGCTATTTCGTTGAAAAGCAGGTGTTCCTTTCAGCCTGTGCTGTCAGTGTATGTTTTTCCCCCATTAAAAAAACTACTGTATGTAAGGCTCATTTACATACAGTACAGATTTTCTTTAAGAAGGGGGTGACAATTTAAAACCACTAATTTCACCCTGATTTTATGTCCACATACTGTATATCCAGAAGATGTTTTTTTTAAATGCTCTTGCGGTAGGCTAATTGTATATTTTTCACGAAGCAGCTGGAAAATGCTGATCACCCCACTTTACAGTAAACAAGGTCCACTTGATTCGCTGACTGCTCAGAAAGTGCTCTGTGTAATAGAAAGTAAGGAGGAAAATGGGGAAAAATGCTAATAAGCTGCTGATTGTGCACCAGATCCCAAACTATTGAACCACATGAGTGTTTGTGGTGCAAATAGTATTTTTTAAATTTCAACCTAGCTTTTCAAAATAATCCCAAAGTACCGTAAAAATGAAAATAATGATCCTTAATTGTTTGTTACCATTGAACCAGAATGTATTCTCACATACATTATTCAAAATGTAATTGAATCCTCTGTAAAACGTGAAACTGCTGGAGGAGGAGAAGGCAGCCTATTGCAGCTTGTTTTGCTGAGGCAGTAAAGTGCTTCTGATTGGACGTCAGATCTTACATTCCAAAAACAGGAAATGCTCCAGACTTATGATGACTGAAGATGACCTCACATGCCTGGCTCCACACAACCTTGTACCCACACATTACATCTTCCTTGCCCACGGCGCTTCTGAAAGCTATTGGGAGACTGTTCTTGCCGTCTCAATGTGTTGAAGTCCTTGAATAGCGAGGACTGGCATTGACTTTGCAGATTGCATGCCAGGGTAACCAAGTCATCCAAGCATGAGAGCTGCATGCCATTTTATTAGACTTGAGAGTTTTCCATTGAGAAAGGAAAAGCCCCTGAGCCTAAAATGTATGGAACCATGCTTCTCTCCTGTTTGAGCTCCGACCTCGCAACACATGTTATAGATTTTTACATGATACAAGAAATAGATTTATTTCACTTTTCTAATTTTTCACCCAGTATAGGGTAAACAGCCACAACTTTAACAATTGGTTGTCATGGGTCCCCCTAAATACCGCCACTGGCTAACCAGGAGATTTTTAAATTAGTCTCTGCATTGACAGACTGATTCATGCATGTGTGAGTGTCTCAGTGTGTATGGCAAAGTTTAAAGCAAAGGGGGGACAGAGAGGAAGTGATTGGAGAAGGTGTTAAAAGGCATAAATTCAGAAGCATAATGATTTGTTTTACAGGTGACTTTGTTTTCAAATTATTTTCTAGAAAAACCTGATATGCACCTTCTTTTCATGGACAGGACTTTATAATTTGGTGCCAATCATAGGGGAACGGATGCTGTGTTCAGTAACTGTTTGAGTGTATAAGTAAAGAGCCATGAAATGACCAGAAGCAGTTAAATATTTCCAGGGGATTTTCTGGAAGGAACTGCAAAGGTCTTACTCAAAGGATTTATTTTGTAACCTAATATTCAGTGGCAATTGCAAACTTTATTCTCCATAGCGGATTTGCTGATTTGCATGTAGACTACATTACAAACGGACTATATTCGCTAAGCCCTGTCCCCTTTCTTTTGCTACGCCTTTTTAAAGCTTTCCATTCTGGCACAGCGCATATGCAGTTTACAGTGATAAATTCCATCCAAAGTTTGTAGTCATTTTTGGAACAGCGGGTCTTTGATTTCACACAAAGGTAAACAAAAGCAGGTGTCTCATTTCGTCACTGTGGACAGCAGAAATGACGACTCTCGCTAGGATTTTATCAGTAGCTGCATGCCCCAGGCAAAAAGCTAGCATCCAGTCCAGCTGATGGTCTGCTTAGAAGACATGAAAATAAAGGAGCGGCTGTATTAAACAGAACCTACAACCCTACATCATACAGCAATATAGTTAGATAATGAGATGCCCCTTCCAATGTTTAGCATGCTAACCTTTACAGCTTATGTTAGAGAGAAACAGTCTAATCCATCCTTACACTTTTGTATTTTTGGTTTTGGTAAGGTGACAAAAAAAAAGACATGAACCTCCAGAGACCTGTTAAACAAAATTTTACTGAAAGTGCTGTGATGAATGCCGCAAACACATTTGTGAAAGGCTGCATGTATTCTTATAATCTTTGTTTAACGGCCTGTGGGGGCATTGTTATCTTTTACAGTTGTTAACTTTTTACAGTTGAGAGTTGTTTTTGTCCCCTTGGGATGAAAACATCGGCTGTTTTGTAACTCTACCTCATGCTGGTGTAAGAAGCAGCGGGGCCTCTAGGGGCCACTAACAGAACCTTTAGACGTTTCTTTTCCCCTTAGTATGCTTGTGTCCTTCTCCACATTCTTCAAATTATTGCTATGCACACAGATATACAGACACACACACTCGCTTTCTACTTCTGAATTTTTGGAAGTCAAGAAGAAACAAACGTGAAACACTTTATCGAGAGTGACAACCACATTGTGTGTACGTGTGACTGATTAATTAAAAATCCCTCTCTCACTGCCCTTGGCCAATGTCAGTCTCTGAGTGAATGATGGCTCAGCTGTATGTTATTAGCATAACAGTTAGTTTTTAACCCCCCCCCCCCACCACACACACACACACACACACACACACACACACACACACACACACACACACCCACCTCCCACTTTGTGACCAGTTAACAAAACCTGCAGCGTCTGCAATGACTGACAGATGTGGTTCCTGCAAAGAAGCTGCTTCCTCAACAAGGGGCTGATTCTTTGTGCATTTACTCTAAAAAGTATGAAATCTTTGTATGTTTTCCTACAGAAACAGCATGTTAGCTTTGTGTGACTGTTGTATGTGAGATGTTGATGTTAGAGCCCGACCGATATGGGTTTATGGGGGCTGATGCCGATATTAAAGTGAAAAAGAGCCGATTTATGTGCCGATGTTTTGATTTTAAGAAAGAAGCCGTCTGTAAACAGAGAGTGAGAGAGAATAAGTATGTGTATTTCACTTTACACATAATATAATAACTTCAATTCACATATCGTTCATCCCTTTACCAGCACTCTTTAATTCTAACCAAAGCTACGTGAAACCATTTAACCACCATCGGTATAAATCATGCCGTCTAGGATACAGTGAGCTGCTGTTGAATGCATCTAATACTACAGGAATGTCAAGGAGGACCTGCAACTTTGAGATTTCATTTAACTAACATTATAACTGCAACAGCATTTCACATCTACAACATCACACAAAGAGGAGCTACAGGAAGCCGTGTTAGATTGTTGATCAGCTCATGTTTATTTACATGTCCGCTCTGGTTTAATCATTTCAGACACGCCGACTAACTGCAGACAGGCAGCTCGCAGATATATTTAGAATACGTCTAAATATCACAAACTATAGGCTCATTAATGTTAGCGCTCCTCCACTGATAAACAGGGCATCACTTTTGTGGCTAATTTAGTAACGGGCAGCGTTAGCTGCTGTAATGTTACGTGATTTTAGAGAATATTTAGAAGTGATGAACTAGGAACAAATGTGAACCGTTCGCTAGAACTGCCACACCGTTTGAAATAAATGTACAGTTACGTCTGTCCAGCATCGTAACTTTCAACACCCAACTACTGTAACATTAAACCGCTATGAGCTGATATGAAGCCTATGGCAGTGAAAAGCGGGAGGGTTAGCAAGTCATGAATGTTTTCAGGAGAGAAGTGACTGGGTCTGTTTTTATTATAATAATTAAAGTCGTGTAATTAACGTGACAAAAGACCGACTCACTGCTCACACAGCCCTCTGCATGTTTCTAAATACTACAGTAAGCTCCTGTGAACTCCGGTCAGCTTATTGTTTTCTTCTGTGGTTTTTGTGGTGAGGCAGTGTAGTTAACAGGGCAGCTGCAGCTGGTCGCCCTCTGGTGGGCAAACTATGCAACACCCATAACATGAGTGAAGGATCTAACTCTAGGATTCTTTTTTAATAGTCATAAATCTGCTGTTATAAACGGCCAAGGCCGATTAAATGCAATTAGCTCGTATCGGCCGATAATATAGGCCGGCCGATATAGCGGTCGGGCTATATTTACCAACCTTGAGACCCCTATAATTGGGAGCTGGGGGAGGGTCTTCTAAGTCAGGTGCATGCCAGCAAACGTTTGGTGTTGCTGTATAGATGTCAGCGTGGAAATAGTAGAGAGAGAGTTGCTGTAGGGCTTATACACGCTGTACAGTTCAAGAAACAGGTTGTAGCAGGTTGGAGAGAGCAATGAAAATAAAGTATTTGCAGTAAACTGATTGTATCTTACAAAATAAAGAGACAGAAGGACTGCAAGAAAGAAAGGATGGGAAGTGGCAAGAAAGAACGAAAGAAGGAAGGAAGGCAGGAAAAAAGGAAGGAAAGTGAAGGAAGAAGAAAGAAAAAGTGGAAGGAAGGAAGGAGGGAAAGTAATAGAGGAATAATATACAATATAATACTTATATGTACATGTAATAGTTAATAATACATACAAATAAACAATCATGGGAGGAATAAAAACAAGTAAATATTAGTGACATTTCATGAGCTTAACCTGTAACTATAGTCATCAAACGAGTGTTAATATGATAAAAAGGATTCTATTTCCTATTTCTCCGATTTCTGTTTATCCTACGAAATGTAGTATTAATTGTGAAGGAGCAACATCAAACTTAATTACAGTACCTGAGAAAAAGTACTGTGGTTACTCCGGACAAATCTCTCTAATAATCTAATACTTCTCTATTGTTGCATGTTTCTGTAGGATAGCATTATGAACTCACATGCATGTACTCTACTAACAGAATATAACCAGGTATTTTTCTGTGTACACACAATATACCTGATGCACTACAATCAGCTCTTGTTACTGAAGGATGGGATCATTATCAGTTACATTACATGACCTAGACTAACTGTACTCTCAATGTGCACAGGGGGACGAAAGGCAAGGACATCAACACCATCAAGTCCCTGAGGGTCCTCAGAGTTCTGCGGCCGCTCAAGACCATTAAACGGCTGCCCAAGCTGAAGGTACTGTAATCCAATCTGTCATCCACCCAGTCCATTTTGAGAAAAACAGGGAGCAGCTGGGGCCCCAGCCGGTGTCAGTCACCAACACTATCACAAGTCAAATGAATTTAAAGTACACTAAGGAGGAATGGATCTCTCTGATATCTAAATCTTTTATCTCTAACTTAAGATGAAAGATCTGAGCTGTTTGACCTTTGGGACATTCTGGGCTGGGAGAGGAAGCGATTTTACTGAAGTAGTTGTTTGCAATGAGCCTTATTGATAGCCTGTATTCCCCAGAATATACACTCCTCGACAAGGTATAGGCACAGATACAAGGGGTAGAAAGAAATCATTTAGAAACTGTGTTATGAGCATCAAATAGTCACAAAGGTTTGTAAAGCGGCACTGAAAGGTTTGTACCTGCTCCTTTGTTTAGGATAACTGCTGTAGTTAGCATGGATTCACAACGGTTACAATGAATTTCAATTCAAAGCAGAGTCAGAGCGGTAAACGGTTTCAAATTATCCATAGAGGCTTCTCAACCTTCTCAAAACATGGCAGAATATGGTTAAAAAGAAACCTTCTGTTTGTTTGTAGCTTAATTAGCTGTTTATCTTTGTAGCATCCCGCTATGTTTGCTAATGGTGGTCATGAACGCCAACAGATAGCCAGAAATTGTGTGTTCTTTCGTTCTGGGGCAACAATGAGTGTTTGGAACTTAGTTACGCATAGACAGTGGAGAAGGAGAGTATACTTAAGCAATAGCTCACAGCAGTTGGTAATTTTTGAAAAAGTGTGTACAGTGCAGAATCTGCATTAATTGTGACCCTCAACTGTTTCCTCTAATGGAGAAATGACAGCTTCCCTCTGGTGCATGAAGGCAACAAATCATCCAAAAGTAATGGATCTGACAAAAGATGAAAGATGTGATTGCAGTAATAGAAGTGAGATGATTGAGACAGATCAGAGCTGGCAGAAAGACGCTCATCCACAACTCTTCTTGGATGCTTGGACAGAGTGGTTTGACAGGCAGGCTGGTAGAGGAGGGGATAAATATGCTCTGTCCTCACGTTGGAGACAAAAGCCTCGATGGCGATCATTCATGCAGCAGCATATTCATTGGTTAGATTGCATACATGTCAGGAGAGATAGACAAAGCACTCCATCTCACAGAGAGATCACAGCACAAGCTGACAGAAGAAAATAGCCGGAGAGAGAGAGAGTGACAGGCAGGGAGACACAAAGACGGACTTCATGCAAAGGTGTGTTCATGTACTCAGCAAGCATTGATTTTGTAGTTTGCCAGTCATAGATGTCTAGAAAACAGTGCTGAATTTGGGTGAAAGGTTTGTTTTTTGACATCTAGGTTAGTTAGCACCATTGTTTTAGTAGCAAGTGGTCTCTGGTGACATAGTCATACACTTTTATTCAATCATGCAACCCAACCTCTGCACTGAAAGGCTTTGTGGCAGTTTTTCAGGGTGTAACATTTAGGAGGATCTATTGACAGAAATGCAACGTAATACCCATAACTATGTTGTCAGTGCCCCACGACCCTGTAAGCAGGATAAGCGGTTGACAATGGATGGATGGATGGATGTTGTCAGTGGTGTATAGAAACCTTACGTAACGAACCGTAATGTTTTTATTACCTTAGAATGACGCATTTCCATTTACATACACTTACATGAAATGTTTCTACAGTAGCCCAGATGGACAAACTACTCTACAGTGTTTCATCACTACATTGAATATGTACAAGAAGGAGGAGGAAGGAGAAGAAGAACAAGTAACGTCAGTACTACCAGTTGTAGTAGTCAATTGGTTTATTAAAAATAAGAAAAGAAGAGTAATTTGGACAAACGGAGGACCACACCATACACCGAAGTCAGAAGAATGACATCACAACTCAGGAAATGGGACCATCCGAGGAGCACATAAATGCACCATGAACCACTGGTTGCAATTCACAACCCTCACCACTAGATGCCACTAAAACTTACACACTGAACCTTTAACAGGGCCATGCTTCTTACGCTGTTGCTTCTATGGCTGTTTCTCACTACCAAGTTCGCCAAGTTCGGACTTCTGTACTTTAAAGCTCAGACTTGCCAAGTTTGGCTCAGGAGTACAAACTCCCAGGAATGGGAGCACGTAGTCTGTCATTCAGCAATTGGAACAGCAGCGGACTTGATGACGGCCGGACCCGTTAGTGGGCGGGACCTCACATCTCCGAAAACGTCGTAGCAATTTTTTAAATCAGCTGTCTTGAGAAATCAACCACATATTTGGAGTTTAAACAACCATATTCCCGCATAAAAACTCTTAGAACTACTGTATACTACAGCAGTATTATAAGTTACAGTTGTGAGTTTTCTCCTCCGACATTTCCGATTTTTTGGCGGCAAAATGCATTCTGGGATATCTGGCTATCCGAAGTCCACACAAGTCACCACCGATGCAGGCTCGGTAAAACAGGCGGAGCGAGAACACATCCGGGTATTTGACTGTACTTGGCTTGATGCGGACTTTTGAATTGGAACAGTACTTTGGCTGCGACTGATGACCTTTCACAAGTCCACAAGAACACAAGTACAGACAAGAACGCAGAAACAGCTCATGACAAAACAATCTATTCTTCTAATTGCACCGCCACAAGAGATGAATTTGCAGGAAAATACATAGCTCGCTTTAACTGTATGTTTGTTCTGGTGAGGACAGTCTCAATTTGACCTGCACATGACCATAATCAGGTTTAGGGGGTTGGTGCAAAGTGTGCTTTTGGGAAATGTTTAATTACCCTACAGTTAACTGGTACAGCTTTCTCAGTCAGGGACAAAGCTTTTTAATCAAGTAACCAGGTTTACCCTAAGCATGCTGCACTTTGGGTAGTAGTTTGGCTCTATATCTATCTAGATCTTTTAAGAGATTACATAAGTATTTTCATCTGAATTTTATGTTCCAGTACTTTCCAAAACATTTCTGTTCACCACAATTTACAGTAAATAGTGTTCTCTCTTGGCAAGGAAAGCTCAAAATACACTTCATGTTATAGAAAGAGAGAGGGAAGGTCCAGAGCAAGATGACAATCAGGTTAGTGACTTTATCCTGTCAGTTTCTCTCTTTACAAAGACAAGTGTTGCAGTATGAGAGTCCTACCTGAAGAGAGGCTGTGAAGTCTTCTTGTTAAGCGATACGAGAACCACATACATTATTTATCAAATTGGGTCGGACTTGATGAATTTAGCACGAGGATACACATGTGACAACGTCCAGATTTCAAAATGAGGTGTCTATATAGTATGGAAATAAGATAAATTGGATTATATTCACAGAAATTTTTACAATTGTCCATTAAAAGGAAAAAACAAAACAACAATAAAATGTTAGGGAAATTACTCTATTTTCTGTTCTTTGATTTAGGGTTGCTGGAAATAAATTTGCAGACTTTTGTTGCTGTTTCATCACCATTTATAGCTATACAATGGGTTTTTGATTAAATGATGATTAGATTAGAGCTCAACATTGTTTACAGGAGTGCAAAGTTCTTCATAGATTGCCTCTTAATTTTGCACCAAATTAATGCATTTAACTTTAAAATGTACAAAATTTTATTCCAGGAGGCCTGCCCCTGGAACCCCCAAGAGACCCACTATAGTCTCTTAAAATCCTGTGGGAAACACTGCGTAATTCATTCAAATTAATTTGGATGCAAAACAAATCAAATAACATAAGAATGTGTGGCCAGAGGTGTCCACAGTGTTTACAATTTCTCTTTGAATAATAAAACAAATAATGTTGAGCTTCTTGTAATAGAGTTAATGTATATCTGCTAAAAACGAGATATACTTGATTACCTTACATTTATTGATGTATGTGTGTGTGTGTGTGTGTATCTTGCAGGCGGTGTTCGACTGTGTTGTAAACTCTTTGAAGAACGTCCTTAACATCCTCATCGTCTATATGCTCTTCATGTTCATCTTCGCTGTTATCGCTGTGCAGCTCTTTAAGGGCAAATTCTTCTACTGCACCGACGAATCCAAGGGTCTTGAGAAAGACTGCAGGTACATCAACCGGGCTTACCCTTCTTCATGCCTGAATGTCTTCTTAATGAAACTTTATTTTCAAAATGTTTTAAATCATCTGTTAAGGTAACTTTTTACTGTGAGTCTCCCATCATATCGTTGTATTTAGCCGTTGCCATTTAGTGAAATGATTTTAAACAGAAATTCTCAGTTGGATTTTTTTCTCTTCTACTTTGATGATCTAGTTTTGTCTCTTTCTCCTCTTTTGAACACATCTCTTTTCAACTGATTCTGCCTCTCCCCTCATTTCTCTCTCAGGGGTCAGTTTCTAGACTATGACAGGGATGACGTGGAAGCTCAGCCCAGAGAGTGGAAGAAGTATGAGTTCCACTATGATAACGTTCTCTGGGCCTTCCTTACGCTCTTCACTGTCTCCACCGGAGAGGGCTGGCCATTGTAAGTCAGAATATCCTCCAAATCACTTCATTTGTGTAGCACCTCTCATACTGCCACCTAAAGTCAGCTGTGCACACAATGCTTTACATGCTGAATGTGGAACACCAGGTGGCTGATGGTACAGCGCAGATTAAATCCAACTCCCAGGCTTAATTACTGTGCCTTCTCTAAAGATGCAATCAAGGCTCATTGCATACATGGCTTCAGTCTGCCATTCTGCGCCCGAGCTAAAGTACCACAGGCAGATTTATCATACTCACCATCTCTATCAAGGACTGTTGATGGCTGCTTGCATATTTAACTATAAATGAATAGTAAATTGTTGAACTGACTAAGCCTGTCATATATCACAAGTGGCTGAACAAATAGTGACAGCACACTAACTGGCAAATAAAAGCAATGGTACACCCCTAGAGACGAAAGTTACAACTGTGTATTACTTTTCTGTAATCAGAGTCAAGCATTCTAATTAAAGCTAACAAGTTCATTAGCCAACTAAGAAAAACCTAAAGATACTTAGATGCTCAAGTAAAATAAACAACAACAATATGAAGTGTGTGCTTTTTGAGGAGCTGATGTGACTGGACATGATTTATACCAGCTCCCTACACACCCACTGAGAATTTATGATTATAGGTTCCTTGTAATCGCACTCTTTTTTTAAGTGTGCCTCTGGCAATGAACCTAGGTCCAGTGTCCACCTTGATGCCGGCTGCGCATCATGTGGGATGGATGTTGATGGGAAATATTCCCATGTTTATGCGGCCATTTAGGGCATGGGGCAATTTTTTCCATTAAAGGTAGGTTGTAGTACCTGGAATGACACAATTTGGCTGAAGTGAGGCAAAAGAAAATTACTTTATTAATAATCAATGAATCACTCACACGCATTTTTGCTCCAAAAAATAACTAAATGTTTGATGGTTCCAGGTTTTCAAATGTGACAGTGCTTGCTTTCCTTGGTCATACGATAAAGTTATTGTTGGCTGGACAAAATAAGCTATTTGAAGTTGTCACCTTGCATTTTTCCCTGTTGTCTAATGTTTTATAGACCAAAAAATTAATCCATTAATCAAGAAAATAATCAGTAGTTGAATTCCAACTCTGAAAGTTGGGCGAGGGGACATAGAGTCTGTGGTGAAGGGGCCTGACAAATGTTGTTTGAATGTCCTGTCAGTTCATCTTTTTCCTTCTTTTCAGGGTCCTGAAGCACTCCGTGGATGCCACTTATGAGGACCAGGGCCCCAGTCCCGGCTTCCGCATGGAGACATCCATCTTTTATGTGGTCTACTTTGTGGTGTTTCCCTTCTTCTTTGTCAACATATTTGTGGCTTTGATCATCATCACCTTCCAGGAGCAGGGGGACAAGGCCATGTCAGAGTGCAGTCTGGAGAAGAATGAGGTGTGAAAGTGGTGGAAAGTGATGCACTTGCTTGGTTTTTCCCCAGGGAAACAATGACCCCCCTCCCTACTACATGCAACAAAAACACATGCTGATTATTCCCTGCAGAAGTACTTGTTTCTGAAGATGTTTGTCTCTTGCAGCACAAATGTTTTCTTCATTAGGAATTTAGAGCACATGCTGATCTGCTTCTAAACATTGCTTCCAGACAAATTGGATCTAACATGACTTACAATTCCCTCAAACAGAACAAAGTACTTAAAAAATAAAGCAGTGGGGTTTATCTTCTCTGCTCTCTTTATCTCCACTTCTTAGAGTCTGTTAAGTATTGGCAAGTGATCAGAGAGCCTCAATATTACGCAAAAGCTCAGAAAAATCCTCCAGCTGTCTTTCGTGTTTTTTAAAAATTTGATTTCCCAGCATTTTTCTCTTCTGTCTGATGAAAGGTGTGAAGCTCCTTTATCAGAGGGCATTAATTCACGCTCTGGTTGTGTTTGGTCTTTTCATCAAACAGAGGGCTTGTATTGACTTTGCCATCAATGCCAAGCCGCTAACGAGATACATGCCGGAGAACAAGCAGTCATTCCAGTACAAGATGTGGAAATTTGTGGTGTCGCCTCCGTTCGAGTACGCCATCATGACTTTAATCGCCCTCAACACAGTCGTGCTGATGATGAAGGTCAGTGATTCCTCTTGCTAACAAGGCAAAGCCCCAATTCCTCTCACATACCTGAACTGACTCAGTGATACGTATCTAGCTCCCAATATGATACAGAACATTAATGAAATAATAAAAAGGATTGCAGAAGCTGATTGCATAAATCTGTACGTTTGATAATTTAGATCTTAAGACAGAGATGCAATTACAGCAACAACGCTGGTCCGGCCTTATGACACTGTCAAAAATTAGAAATCACCAGCACACCCCAACCTCTGCCAAATAGTGCTTGCTGCTATCAAAGTGAAGTGCTCGTGTCTTGGCAGTTCCTTTACTCATCTCCTCTGAAGGGAAAATCTCTGAGGGAATAAAATCGACAGTTTGGGAAAGGCAGGCTGGTGCCAGAGAGGAGCTCTTTTCGCCTGGTATTTGTGGTTTCATTTACATAATCTAACACATTTCTAATTTGCGTCTCTGTCAGATTGTGAGCATAAAATCTGAAAAATTATTTCAGTAAACATTTTGAAAGGCTTAACGTCTTAAATAAATTAAAACTCACAGTAACTATATGAGAGAAAGTTGCAGTGATGTGTCAAAACCAGCAGAAGTAGCCTAACTGCTAAAAACTCAGGCATTCATACATTTAGCTAAAGAAAGATTAATGAAAATACAAAGTCAGTGACGGGAAAGCAGTCTTCTTAGCAAGTTGTTTTCGTGGAAAGAAATGTAATGTTAGACAAGTGTCTAGTACCAAAAGAAACAACAAAGGTTTGACTTCCATTCAAGTCAATACAATCCATGGAAAAGCAAAGATTGCACAAGTTTCTTGCTTGCTTGCCCACTGGACTGCTGCTTCATCAGTGCATTCAGTGCTTCCCCTGGTGGCCAGAAGTTATATTACCACAAAATTCAAATTGCATCAAAAATGCATCAAAAGTTGAAACTGCTTACAGTGATCAACTGCTTATATGGATCAAAAAGCTTGGGACAGAATCACTCCTATACAAATGCTGTTTAAATAATTTGCTCATAGTAATCAAGAAGTCTGCTTACAGTGTTCCTTTTGGGTTTTTTCATACATGGCAACATATGGGAGGAAAAAGTTGAATATTTTATGAAAGAGTTTATTTTCAAACTGTGCCACTAGTTCAGCATTGAAATCCTACAGTTTATTTTCAGCCCTCTTAAAAATGTAGAAATGCACCAAAACCACAGCCACATTGTGGCATAGTAGCCTATTTGCACTACTGACGGTACTGTATTTGTAATTTGAAAAGCATTTAAACCAGCTGTACTGTATTTCAAAATGGCACACTGCCCATTTCATTACTTTATATTCATGTAATAAATATACCTATGTCAATTAGCTGGCGATCTGCATAAGAAATAAAGACAAAGAAAAAATAATTTACAATAATCACCTGCTTTTAGTGATCAAGCAATACATTTTTTCCACTATCATACAATTTGAATCATACATTCAACTTTCTCCTCTAAACAAATTTGATAAATAAAGTGACAGAAATGATTCCCTCTGATAGCCCTCTACAAACACACATGCACAGATCATTTCAGCGTAACAGTCACCTGCCATTATCACAGAGCAAGACACAGCGCCTGATGAAACTTGAGAGGATTAAAATGTATGTATGCAGCTGGGATTGACAAATACACATCCACCTATTAAACATCTTGCTTGAGTGCGTCTGAGCAATCAAAAATAATTGGTCTGCAGTGCTTCTTGTTTGCATCTAACTATCTTTTGTATATCTGATCCGCTCAAGAGTTGGCTAACTGTAGAGTAAACGGGGTAAAGGATGCAGATTTTTCACATCTCTTCTCTCAAATCTTTCACCAAATATAATCATGTTTTGCTTTCTGTCCTCAGTTCTACGGAGCTCCAGACCTGTACGAGTCCATGCTGAAATACTTAAACATCGTTTTCACAGCCCTCTTCACACTGGAGTGCTTCCTCAAGATTATTGCCTTCGGTCCACTGGTGAGCTGTCAAGACCATATGCTGCGCTGTTCTCTGTGAACGCTAGACAATTATTCATTGTTGGAGTTTTGTTTTTGTGTTTACACACATGAGGGAAAATCCTTCTTTGGTTATGGAAATCAGCCAAAAGAATCAGGGTGGTTCTGCTTCGAACTGCCCTCACTGTGCATGAAGTGCTCAGTTAATTAAATGTTAGTTAGTTTGACATTTAGACACTAATATGGTGTCTCCAATGAAGAAACGGATACAGTCCCACTGAGCGAAACATGGAAGGACGTTTTAAGAATCGTGATTTTTGTTTGCGCAAAAGTACATAAAAGGTCTAGTGGATGACGGATGACATGTCACAAAGCAGTAAATTCAGGAATGAGGAGAGTAAACTCGCAAACAAAAAAGAAAACATGAATGGAAGCATGCACGAAAAGAATAAATCACCCCCAACATGGGGCCGTCTTGCCTGCAGCGAGGCATTTCATCTCTGGCTCCGTTCCATTTACGAGGCCCATTTATTAAATAGCTTTTCTCACACACCACTTGCCTCCACCTGTTTAGCTGTGAAGCCCAGACGGATAGGCTCACATCTGCTGGTATAAACACTCGGCTGCTGCATCTCTTTAGACTGCAGCTGAGGGCCTGGCAACAGCTTTTGGCCTGAGGAACTGGATGATTGACCAGTCTGGGGGATCCAGGCTGCAGGCATCAGCTCAGCAGGTTACACAGGGGAGTGTGTCAGCATTTGTGTGCATTGGATATGCACATAAAGATTTGTGTGCCCAAGGGGATGTCTATATTTTTTGTGTGTTGTTACGACCCAGCTCGCTAAGTTAGGGTAGCAACAAGTGATTGGGATAGAAATGAGGTGGAATAGGACAACTGAAATGTTTCGGTTAAAGTCAAAGGTTTTAATTAACGAGCTCACACAAGAAAATACAACAAAAAGTGGCTATATAGGTGCTGACAAAAACACAAAATGAAACAAAAGAGGGTCTTGTCCAGAGACAGTTACTCAGCTCCTAAAACACACACCAAGGAACAAAAGGAGGTCAGCACCTATATGCTTACAAAAGTGCAAAGTAAACAAACAAGCAGTTATTCTGCAGTGTAGAATACCCAAACAAAAGAGTGCCCTATGTGATTTACAATGATTCAAAACTACTGTCTGAAGCCACTCATACAGACAATATCAAGAAATACAAACACTCTAAATACTCACTAAACTAACAGTGTATGCAAACAACAGCAAGATAGTGGACACACAAGCTATTTATAATTCTGCTGGCGTTGATTGAAGAGTCCTGATTGGTAGGTTCGGTCAGATCACAGCCACACCAATCACAGATGCCAGCGGACAGCGAACAGGAAGTAGGTGGTCTCAGCTCCAGAGGTTAATCGAAAATGCCTGCATGAAAAGGCAGAACCAGGGCAATAGAGCTGCAACAATTGGTCGATTAACAAGTAGTTTTATCAATTTATTTTTAAAGTGGATTCATCCCTGAGGTCATTTTTTAGGAAAAAATGTTTTATATCTATGTCAGTTGAGTATCTGTGGATTTTGGACTGATGGATGAATAACAAGACATTTGAAGAAGTCACATTGGACTTACCAAAGTAACAAAGTGATATATATATATAATTGCAGAAAATGGTTTTAGCACCAGTTTGAACAGTTACCCCATTCTGTTCTCCCAGAATTGTACCAAAGAAGCTGAACATTTTAAAGTTTGAATGAACAGCCCTTCTCTCTGTGCCATCTTTGTCTTTTTAGAACTACCTGAAAGCAGCCTGGAATGTGTTTGACTTTGTGACTGTGCTTGGAAGCATCACAGACATCTTGGCCACAGAGATTAAGGTAAGAGCTGTAGCCATCATGGGCTCCTCTGAGTGCCATTACACCTGTCCTTTTAAGGGTGACATCAAGATTCAGTGCGTGCTCGCAGCTGCTGCAGCAGTCGCACCATGATAGGGCAGCATGCTGTGAGTCTGTAAGTCATTCAGAGCCAGTAGTTTACTTATGTAGGTAATATTATTTATATTAGGTTTGCAAGTAATGCTTATTTTTCAACAGCTGTTTGTCTTTCCATAGTTCTTTTGATAGTTTATAAACACATTCTCACTCCCAACTCATCACATATGGATGTTTGGTCAAGACCTCTTGGAGTCGCTTTTTAGATTTTCAAAATATAACTAGTGGTTAACGTTTTGAAACGGCTTGTGGTTAATGTGGTTAATGTGGTGAATGTCGCAGTTTGTCGCAGTGTAACTTATGTACATTAAGAAACTACTTTCATAACTTACATAGCTTATGTAACATATGTAACCTATGCAAATTTACTAAAAGCAGGAAACGAATACCGGTCTCCTGGCCAAAAGTCCGGTTTCTGGCCACCCATGCACCCCAACCACCTCCTTACTCTGACTTTTCTATTTATATCCTAAACCGTCTTTTAGTGTTCATAAATGACACTACAGGGCTTCCCCCAGTGCATTGAAGTATGACGCTAAGGGGCTTCCCAGTGCATTACAAACTGACGCCTTGGGGTCTTGACCATGTATCACAATGTGACAACTTGTACTAGTTTTTTTTTGACCAACAGCTAAAAACTCAAAGATGTTCTATAGACAACGATTGAAACACTGATTGTTGAAATTGTTGCAATTGACAACAATTAATTGACTGATTGTTTCAGAACTAATTAAAATAAATTTTATTTTTTGCCTTTTTTTCAAACATTAGAAATCTGAACAAACAACTTAGGCTCCGAAATCATGAATGCAAAAGTCATGCATTGCTTTGCTCTCACAGTCTCAGTCCTCGAATCAAAAGCTCCGCCAAGAAGACTGCGAGCACAAAAAAATGAAATCATGAAAATCAATTAAAAAAACTAAAATGAAAATGAATACATAACGCAAAGGCAGCTTCATGGTAATGGGAGGAGTGATGCTGCTGTTACAGTTGGGAGCATTTAGTTTCCTCCTACGGGAAAAATGAACAAACTTATTTGATTGTGGCGATGGAGGGCTGAGGCAGAGAGACTGTTGCTATCTGTGTTGCAAAGTCAGTCTCGCTCTTTGTGTGACTTTCTTTTCATGCGATCATTAGTTTTCTTTTTTGTCTCTTCTCTGTTTCGCTTTCCTCCTCTGTTATTTTTTCTTCTGCTTTGTCTCTCCTGGTGCCTGTGCCCTCACTCTGCCCCTTCTGTCACATCTGACACCTCTAGATGGTAAGTGGCTTTTCTTGTTGGCCGCTGATTTTGCCAATTCCCCCATCAGTGTGTGTTGTTCTCTCCCACAGTCGGCGTTTAAAGTGTCTACCTACTGAATCCCGAATGTGACATGATATAAAAGAAAGAGACCTATTACACTGTTAGAAATGTGTGTTTTAACAGCGACACAATCATCTTGAGCAATTTCAGTTGCATAAGATCTGCCTTTAAAATGTGCACTGCAAAAACATTCACCTTAACAAGTCGTTTAGTCTCATAATAAGCCAGTGCAGTTTATTTGGTTTGCAACAAAATCTTGAACTAAGACAAGATCAGTGAACTGGCATAAAAAAATTACTTGATTCCACAAAATCCTTGGAATTGGCTGGTTTGTATTGTAAAAATGATCTCCTAACAGTGTAAATCTTGTTAAGACTGACATTTTTTTACAAAACAAGTAGCTACTTGTAACTAATACCCATCTATGTTTATTAAACATTTAAAGGAAAGAGAATACTGAAAATACTGTAGTGATCCGACCCTTGATATATGTGCTGCGTGGATTTCGGGAACCAAGTCTGTTGTTTTGACTTATGCTTGACATTTTTACCATGTTGTAAATTTGTATTAAACCCACTTTGATTTGTTATGCAGAAAATGATATGAGATTAATTCAAAGGGAGACTATGTAACTTTAGCTGAACAGTGGCCACTGTGACCACAAGTGTAGTTAACCCTAGCACAGGAAAGTCATAAATTATCAGTTATATTACCTCCACATCAATGCCTAAAGTTACAAACATTATTATCCACCATAAGCTGCCTCATGCCAGACCTAGAGTTACCATAGTATGGCTTTATATCCTTTCCTTTCATCCTGGCTACATTATAATACATCACAGAGTCTCTGCTTTCTCTCCCAGGACAAGATGATCAACCTGAGTTTTCTGAGGCTGTTCAGAGCTGCTCGTCTCATTAAGTTGCTGCGGCAGGGCTACACCATCCGCATCCTGCTATGGACCTTCGTTCAGTCCTTCAAGGTGAGTATACACACTCACTCGCAGACTAACAGTAAATGCCTCTGGACACACGTGTAAGTCATGTAAGTAAAAAGAGATTTTTGTAGCACATTTCAAAACAAAACTTGCAAAGCGCTTTACAGATGGGGGCTGACAGGGGAGAAAGTGAATAAGAATGTAGATTTATTCAGGATTTTAGCATTGAGTTTGTCAATCAGATTGATTTATAGCTGAATAAAAGGATATCACACAATATACAAACAGTGCAATAGTGGGTTCAAAAGCAGGCAGAGGCCCGTTACAATCAAACTAAATTGCTCTCTGCAGACAGCAGTTCGGATTTTCACACAGTGCCGGTTTGCTCTCTATATCCCCTGGGACAAGTTGAGTTAAATGTGGAGCGCTGGGCTGCAGTCGAGGGAATTTATAGCAGGTTTAATGTCAGTAGTGAGAGCTTTTAAGCCCAATGAAAATGGACAGTATCTACAGAGTGTTAAAAGGTGGCTATTTAATTACAACAAATGTTCGCCTCCTCCTTGCAGCGATATAAATGGCTGCTTAAAAGAATCGACCCTGCAGGTCAGGTTGACTGCTCGAGTTCTTAAATAAGACTGGAAAATCTTACAAGGATGCTAGTCCTCTGTGGAGAATCAGATTTGTTAGTGTGTGCATGAGTGCAGAGAAAGAAGGAGAGATCAAAAGAGAGGCTGCAAACTCTGTGTGTGTATGAGACAGAAGAGTATATGCATGTATCTGTGCTGTTTAACGTGTATTTATGTGTTTGCTTTCAGGCTCTGCCGTATGTCTGCCTGCTTATTGCCATGCTTTTCTTCATCTATGCCATCATTGGAATGCAGGTGAGTCGTGACCCGCTAGACCAAAGGAAGTCAGAATGTAATGATTTAGTGGCAGATGCGTCGTAGAAACTGTAGACCTATTTTGACTAATTAAACCTCTTCTCAGAACTGTGTGGGTGTGTACAGACTGTGCTCGGTTGACATCCTCCTGATTTTCCTGTTAGTTTTGTTACCATTATTATTAATAGTACATACAGTTTGGTGACCTGAGCAGCAGTCATATCAGATAGGAAAAAAAACAGACTTAGTGTAATGTGGCAATAATGTATTACAACATGTCCAGAAACAAGACAATAATAGTGTAGAATGCCATAATATAACTTGGTGAAAAACAACACTTCGAATACCGACCCTGGCACAGCTTTGTACTTTAAAGAAATAGTTTGACATTTTGGGAAATGTGCTTATTGTTCATTCTTGCCAAGTGTTCAATGAGACGGACACCACTCTCATGTCAGTCTGCTAAATATAAAGCTACTGTCTAGCCAGCAGTTAGCCAAGCTATACTAAGCTTAGCTAACTGTGTCTGTTCTGGGACATTTGTGGAAAAATTTACTTCTTAGTACAAGATGCTTCTCTTCTTGTACCTGCATTTTCAATTTTGTGATGTAATGTCTGCAGTGTTGGGCAAGCTACTAGGAAAATGTAGTGAGCTAAGCTACTAGCTACTCTACATTAACTGAAGCTTCACTACACAGAAGCTACCCCCAGTGAAATGTAGCAAGCTAAGCTACAGCAACATGGCCAAAGTAGCGAAGTTACATCTAAGCTACTTTAAAATTTTTAATATTTTATAGTTAGGTCATATATATATATATATATATATATATATATATATCCCCCTCTCACTCTTCTGGACAGAGACCTCTGATGTTTTTCCTGGAATATGCAGTAGCCACTCTCCCAGTTTGGGGGTCACAGCCCCCCAGTGCTCCGATTACCACTGGCACCACTGTTGGTCTTACTTTCCACATCTTCATATATATATGTATATAAAATAATTATATTTTTATTGTTTATGTGAATTTGTGCTCTGGCACCATTGCTACCTAAACAACGTAAATGTCCATGGCAAAGGGCGAGAGAGAGAGAAAGAGAGAGGGAGATCTCATCTCGTGGAAACAAGTTTCTTCCACAACATATTAAAGTTTCCTCCTCACTAGAGAAAGAGCTGCTCAGGCTGGACCCTGATCCTTCTCATAAGAGGTGTTACAATAACTATCACAATAGAAAGTAAACTCAATCGCGCATGTCTTTACTCGGATCGGTACGTGATGTCACCGTGACAAGAAGCGCTTCTGCCGGCTACACATACAGGTCCATGTGTGGCGGTGGCATTACCTTCAGAAATGTTTGGGAAAATGTACCGCGTGTGGAAGCTACCGTGCTACTCGGTCAATAAAAGAGCTTCGTTACTGAAAAGCTATCTGATTCTGAAAATAGCGACGCTACTGCCCAACGCTGAATGTCTGGGGCACAAGGACACTGCCAGTGATCAAAGATAAGGCCTCACAGTGATCATACATCCTCTTTCAGTTTGTTTTTCAGCTTTGTGAGTATTGCTTTTATTGTTCAGCATTATACCTGAGACTATCTCTCCTCTAGAGACTGTTAAAGGAGGAGGACAATATGAGTTACATGTGTAATATATCAATCCAACAAAAGAACCCTGTAAAAAAACACACCACACTATGTTTCTAAACATTATAATGGTCCAGTCTTTTGGGATTTTGCATTCATGAGATGTTTTGTATTAAATCCTCCTGTACAACACCACAAACATCTGCCTCTAACATTACCATAGAGCTGAATCAACACATCTGTAAAACAGTTTCAATGAAAATTTTATATGATAAATTTCACAAAATGAGTATGTATTACATGGCTACTGCCTTGGATTGCATAATATTGTACAGGTTTTTTTATTTGAAGTGTATTTCTCCCATTGTTTAAAGGTGGCGGATATAAAGGCCTATTTTTTATTCCTTGTTTATATAAGTTTGTCATGGTGTTGATGAAAAAATAAGTTGCAATTGTCGTACTGGGTCAAGATGCTACATACATATTTGACTGCTGTCAGAGGTCTCCTGGGCCCAACAGCCGGTGTTAATAGGCCAGCAGGATGGACATGCTGAGGGGCAAATAAATATTTGACAAACATCTGGGTTGTTTTACTGGACTCACAGCAGTGGGATATCACAAGTTGTGGCAACTATCCATTCAGTCTCTCTCTCTCCATTCAATTTCAGTTCAAATCAGTGAAACATGTTGACAATGCATATACATAAACTAGTGACAGTGAAGGTAAATACATTTTAAAAAAAAATAGAACATAAACAGCTAATTACAGATAACAAATCTAATTTATTCAGTAAAACAGAAGGAAAATGACCTCTTATTTGCTTTATTATCATGACTAGTGTAATTAAGTACAGTGCTGTTTGTACAGGGGCCATCACAGTAGTTTTGATACAATGGTATGCATAACATAGTACTAGATATTTGAATGTAATAGGTATTGAAAAGTATGTAGGAAAATTTCTTATTCATTGACAAACTGTGAATGTTTTTCTTTGGATACCATCCTGTCAAATGAGTTTATATACCTGCAACAAAATGGCCCAAAGCTGACCCAAAATTCCAGTCTAGTTCCGGTTGGTGTTGTTTTTTTTGGCATAAAGCTTCATATCTTAAGTAAGTGTCTCAAATTTTGTACAAGCGGGTCCAGTTGGTCAGGTTGTGTAGCCCACTAAAACTTGGTTTTACTATGTTCTATAACATTAGATCATCATCTAATTACCATGACTAAACTATAACATTTTATGTATTATATTTTTATATAGTATTATTTTTCAAGAGTTTAATGATGAGACCACCAGATATCATCAGATTGGTGCACGGAAGTACTTGACATTATGTTTTTCCCGCCCACTTAAAATCAATAAGAAGAGCACAGGGAAAAAAACATATACAGAAAATGTGAAATATCCAACATCGGAAACAAGAAAGTGTGTTTGTACAAAGAAGCTGACACATTTCCAGGGCCTTTAAAGACGTGGGTATGGGCCCTCTTTGAATCTCAGTTTGAGTGCCAAGCACCACTCTATTGTTAAGTCTGTGCTACAGTAGCTCATTATAATCTGTAAATGTAATATGTAATATGTATTTTAAGTACTGTAGCACAAGCAGCCTTTGGGGTTTGGGGTTTGCATTTAATAAACACCACCTGCTCTCCTGCTGCCTCAGGTGTTTGGAAACATTGAGCTGATTGAGGAGACGGCAATAAATCACCACAACAACTTCCAGACCTTTTTCCAGGCACTGACCCTTCTGTTTAGGTAATACTGCTTCCATATTCTAAAGATTCTGCTGCCACAAATAATTCAGTACCTACTAATAACAAACACTAAACCCAGTTCCTGTCATTGTTGAGCAGTGTTTACATTCACTTTGTGTACATACAGTATGCTCGTACCTTTACTGTGTTGTGCGTGTTTCAGGAGTGCAACAGGCGAGGCGTGGCACGAGATCATGTTAGCGTGTCTCAGTAACCGGCCATGTGATAAGCTCTCTGGAACTGCGGGGAAGGAGTGTGGAAGTGACTTTGCCTACTTCTACTTTGTCTCCTTTATCTTCCTCTGCTCCTTCCTGGTCAGTATGAATAAAAACAGAGGGTTGTCCCATCTGCTCTAAAACTGTGTTCTGATTGACAGAAATTGTACAGAAGTTTGGAGGATTTGCATGCGTTAGGCTTTAAACTACTAGTTGGAACATCTGTGAACTTCCTCAAACTTACATTATTGTAACAAATGCTCATCATCAAAAGTTTCCTGTGGTGAGACAACTCTATTTGCATTTTATAGTAATCAATGTCTTCTTGCACTGTGCACTGCTCAGAAAATGTGAGAGTAAAGTGAAAAATGGGATATTTGTATTATTTACTTTTAATGCAATTTCCACACATTCTTATAAATAATCAAATAAACACACATTCATTCATTGGTTTTAAATGAAACCCCCAAAATACAGGAAAAAAGGAGCCCTAATTGTTGCTTACAATAGCAAAGTAGTGTTGTAAATGCACCTGAAAATATTTATGTTACGTTTAGGAAATTAACCTAAAAGGGTTTTGCAAAATGGTCTTTAAAATATATTTTTGCAGTTTTTTGGCTAAAATCATGTAAAATCACTAAAATAGTCCTTTAACTAAATTTACTAACATTACATAACCTACATAATTTGAACTATTAGGTACTAGCTTCAATAAATAGGAAACATATTCTCTAATCTTTCTTTTCAGATTGAAATTTGATAAATATTTTTTAGCGTACAAACAAATATTTATAATAATAATAATAATCTTTATTTGTAGAGCTCTTTTCAAAAACAAGTTACAAAGTGCTTTAACAAGTGTAAAGACAATAATACCCAAGAGACTATAATACAAAAACAATACAAGATAAAAGCATGAAAACATTGAAAAGACTAAAATACTTATTATTATACTCAATATTATTTATTGTACATGTTTCCATTTACTAGATGTTGAACCTATTTGTCGCTGTTATCATGGACAACTTTGAGTATCTGACCAGGGACGCCTCCATCCTGGGGCCTCATCACCTTGATGAATTCATCCGCGTATGGGCAGAGTATGACCCTGCTGCCTGGTAAGTGCCTTTGATGATTCTAAACTACTATAGTTAAAGTCAACCGTTATAGTAGTCAGTGTCAGTGTTAAAAAAGAGGCAGTTTGTTTTGGGAACAGAGGTAGGCTAGGTTCCAGCAGGATGAGTCTGTGACGTGGGACTGGAAAAATCCCATCTTAGCAGCGGCGGGTGAATGACATTAAGCCTGAGCCGAGAGTCGGCTGCAGCTGGTGACGAGCCCCCTGTCGGCCGGACTGATGCATGTAAATCCAGCGTTCCGCTCGGCGTCCACTCAGCCTTCTTTGCCGCTAAGCCAGCGGGCTCCAAAGCTCCTCAGTCTGTCATTGTGGTGTGAAGAGAAACTATTTCTATCCCTCCAATGGGGGAATACAGGTTTATGTCAGTGCAGATGTCAGTGCCCTCTCTGCCCCTCACACCAACACTGTTTAACTTGACTAAAGCACAATATAAATTCTGAGTTAGACAGTGTGAGGCATAATGTGTCTCAGATTATGTAAGGCTCATTAAGTTTTAAAGAAGGCTTCACAGGAGCCTTGTCTGTGAGTCAGGACTCCAGGAGAGGTGTGATATGTGAAATATGAAATTGTCATCTCTTGACAGACATTACGGGGGAGGAATTTTTATTTATTCCTTTGAATATAAATTAGTTCAGAGAAGTGCCTACAGTAACATTCAGCATATTTTCAACTGCTTTGACTAATTTTTATGTCAGGTTGCAGCCAAAATGTTTAAGACTTTTATATGTTTTCAGTGACTTATTTTAAAAGGAGCAGGTCTGTAAAAACAGATTTTACCATTTTATGTCCTTTGCACATCCAAATGTTGTTGTGTTTTCTGCTGCATGAAAGTAACGACCACTTTGGTTTGTAGTAAATACAGGGTTGTAGCCATTTCCTAGTTGGTGTTTTTTGGCCAGGGATTGAGGGTTTTAAGGGGAAGTTTAAATTCTACAGTGAAAAACATGGTTACTTAAAGTGGTGGTATTATGCTTTTTGGCTTTTCCCCCTCTCCTTTATTGAGTTATATCTCTTTTTTGTGCATGTAACAGGTTTGCAAAGTGAAAAAGCCCAAAGTCCAGCCCAAATGGAGTTCCCATCTCCAACAGAAAACTCTTGCTCTGAACCACTTGAAAACAGCTGTTTGTATTCCAGCCCTTCACTTCCTTTACTTATGACGTCACAATGCAAACGCGTCATAAAGCTTGCCAAGCAGCTAGGGGGTCAAACCAAGCTAGTCTGAGCGGAGGCCCTTTGGCGCCTTTGTTTGATTTTCCATTGTAGAAATGTTGTACCTGTACCTGCTTCCAGGTACATTATCTCGTATAACCTCACCTCTGTCCAGGTTCCAAGGGAGCTGAGGGATACTAAAATGTAACGTGAAAACACGACAGAATGCTGATTGTTCAGAGAGAATATTATAATATTCACTGCATCATCATTGCATGCGCCAGACAGAGGTCAGCAACAGAAAGTTTTATATTTTACAGTTTCCGTATGGAATTTCATCACTACACTTCTGAGAAGTTTTGAGGGGAGAAATCAGCTGTGTAGATTTCGAATATTGACAGTTTTATGAGAAGTGATGGCGGAACAAAAATGTGCTTGAATATTTTTGGAGTTGAGGAGCTCTGAAAATGGCTGCGGGGGAAGCCTGCGCCAACCCGCAGGAGGAGCGTGTGAGGCCGGCCAGCCGCCCGCTCACAGAGCCCTCTGCTCCCGCCGTCACACTGACCGCTGCAGCAACAACGGCAGAGGAAAACACAGCTGGAAGGTTTTCATACCGCTTATCTGTCTTTACATTCTGAGTGATATTGAAACGTTTTAACTTATAAAAAGAGAAAGCTGTGTGGGTCGCTGGTGTGTGGGTCGCATTGCACATTACATCGCGGCAGTTGTGTGTGGCGTTGCTATGATGACAAGCTACGTACTATCTCTGGGTACTATCTGCAATGGAAAACCGAGCAGGGCTGAGTAGAGTCGAGTCTATCGATTTGCTCTATTGTAGCGTTTTTCGGCAAGGCAGCATAGATCGTCAGAACACCGGCAACAGTTCAGCGTTTAGTCCTGATGGTAAGATGTGGAACAATGATGTTGTGGACTTGAGTAACTTACACCATCTGCTAGGTTACGGTCGCAGTCTGAAGCAGCTTTGATTTAGATCACACTACCTTGTTTCTTATGACCCGCCCTTCTCTGCTTCTGATTGGCTAGTAGTCCTTACCTGGGAACTGCGCATGTGCAACTCCCAACATAGATTTTGTACAAGTAAGATGCATCACTCTGTAGCTCAAGAGCGGAGCGTACAACACAAGGTGAAAAGAGGAGCTGCAGCAATGTGCAGTATGAGAAAAATATGATCTTTTTTGAAAATTAAACCATGTAAACCTGTTCTGGTATAACCCCTAATTAAGATTTTGAACCTGAAAATGAGCATAATACCACCTCTTTAAAATTCTGATTTCAGTATCTTATAGTATAGAGTATATTTTGACAACTTTAAGATGAACACAAAAATCTCATAATTAAAGGAGTATTACTCCACCAGAATGTTATGACAGTCTGGCGAGGGCTTTGAAAACCTAAAAATAAAATGTAATCAAAAATCTCATTTAAAAAAAATCCAAATAATAATTTTGAGACCTTTCATTCTTTACAAATCTATTTCTCCAGGCTAAATCCTGGCTTCGACCCTGATGTCTTGTTGTGATGAAAAGTAAAAAGAAAGTAAAAGAAAATGTGCCACTCTTTCTCTCTCTAAGTAAGAAAAAACAATAAGCTTGAAAAAAGATGAAATTGTAATATTTTCATTGTCAAAATAAACACCAACAAATTTACAGATTTAGCCGAACTGAAACAAACAAGCCCTGAGTAGTAGTGTATTCTTTATGCTGCTGCTTCTGGAGTATTTACTTAAATGTTAATGCCGACTAACTTATGACATATTATTATGGAAAGATGTAAAGAAATAACCTGTGACCTAACCTCTTAAACATGTCTTATCTTTTTCAGTGGGAGGATATGCTATCAGGATATGTACAAATTGTTGCGTTTTATCTCGCCTCCCCTGGGCCTGGGGAAGAAGTGCCCTAACAGGGTGGCTTATAAGGTTTGCACACCCACACAGTCCTTTTGTTTTCAAAGGGATGTGATGGTTTCGGACTGTGAATGTCTGTTCTCATTCCCTGCGGTGCCAGAGAATGACCTAACCACACATGCATACAAACACGAATCGATCCTTCACTAACCAGCTGGCAGGTAACCATGGCGAGTGCAGGAAACAATGCCGCAAGTCAGGCTCCAAAAAAAGGCATCAGATGCAATGTCTATGATATTTTCCTGCTTCTAAACACAGCAATGAAAGAAGAGTGGGCAGTGTAGAGAGAGCATTGTGTGCTTTGTTTCCACTTTGGTTACTGCTAATGTCTTTTAGCATGCTGAAACAGAGTGCATCTTAAAGGAATACTCCAGTGAAAACCTACTTTTGGCTCCCCCTTGAAAGGTGGGTCTGAAGAGTTTTTTTCTAGCTGCTCCTTTGAGAAGGACAATCTCTGTAGTCAGCTTGGATTCAGTCTTGAATAATGGATTCCAATGATGCAGAGTCAATAAGATATTTAAAAAATCCACAATTCTCAAACCACTCCTGCAGCATAATCTATTTCTCCCCTGTTGATCCATATATTCAGTATGTTCCAAAAACGTAATTTCTGAATTGTATATGGAAGCGTAAAGGGGACTATTTTAAAATAATAATGTAAACTTGAAAATCTAAAATGTAAAAACATTATTTTCCATATTATGTGTTATTTGAGTAAAATTTTTAATGAAATGGAAAAGCTGTTTAACATTTCATGTAAGATGTGCCCCACTGCACAGTGGACAAAATAAAATAAACAAAATTATGAAAACGAAAATACAATATAACAATTTATTCTATTTATGCAAGCAATATTTAAGTAAAAATGGCATTTGACATTTCATTTTCAAAGACTTAACCTGCTTTACAGTGGACAATATTCAAATGCAACAAGTGAAACAGCGCCCCAGTCTAGTGCATTTACATTTACAGTACATGTCAACACAGTTTTTTGGGGTCGACATTAAAATGAAAAAGCAATGTGTAAGTCCGTTCATCAAGGTTGGAATGAAAAAATATAAATTTGTGTTCTTAACATTAGAACCACCAGGGTTTGTTGTAAACCTATAACCGCCATAGCTAGTAGAATTTACCTGCTATAACAATGCAGTGATTTTGTGAATATTTCTGCTACATGTTGCTCCAACACACTTTGGCAAACATTCAGCACCTTGGCTGTGCATTTACTATAAACACCATCCCCACATTTCAGGCATTTACAGAATGTTTATTCTATTCTATTCATTATGCCTCACCATGCAGGTCGATCACCTGCGCTCTGCATCTGTGAAGGGCACATCCACATGCAGTGGCTCCTTTGATGTCTTCCACTTGTTATAGCCTATTATATTCTAAACAGCTTGAATTTACATGCAGCATACAATTTAGAAAAAACAACTGACTATTGTAGTGTTTTATAGGCGGTAATAATAATAGCCTTATAATGTTGGCAAATTTTTACTGTTCTGCTAACTCCATCGGGCATCCAGAGAATTACACATAGCTACATAAATGTAAAAGTCCACACAAAAGTATTTATTCGAAAGAAACAATTCCATAATTCAAAGTAGATTTTTACTCAGTGGAAAAATGTAAAATGATCACTTTTACAAAAATACATAGTGTTGGAACACTATATAGCGCCCGCAGGTCAAAAAGCACACAAGGGAGCTGCACGCTCTCTTGAAGGGATCGCAAAACACACCTCTATCACAGGGAAAAACTAGGCTACTGCGGAATTAGTTTTGATGATCATAGCCTACGCAAAAGCTATAGGCCCTAAGCATTGCTTTTATGCAGCTTGTATGTATGTTTACTTCATGCAGGTGGATCTCTGTCAGATAATGATCTTGACATTTTTAACAATAGGGGGCGCTACATAACACACTTTTAGGGAAAAGTCAAAGGCTGTGGGACTTGAATATTATATTGGAAAAAAGTTACATTCAACCGAAAAACAGCTGCGGGTAAAGTTGATGGCGGTTCTGGTGTTAAATAACCCAGTCACTGATTGAGAAAAACAAACTTTTTTCTTTTTTTTACAATGTATGCTCAAAATTCTAAACAAGAGAGCTAAATGAACAACTTCCATGTCTTGCCATCGCCTCAAAGTAGCTCTGCAGCTCTGCTGCATGTACCGTATATAGCAATCTATTGGAGCGTAGCAAATATAAGGGTCATTGGCGGAGAAGTGGATTATGTTGCAATGAGTGCTTGTAGAAGTTTCTGAGCATGTTTTTACTTTTTATTGTGAGACTGGGTTGTCATTGGAATCCATTGTACTGTGAATCCTACAAACATTTCAGAGCCCCCTTTCAAGGCTACAGGTGGTGAATGTTTGATACTCCAAAGATAGATTTTTGGTGGAGTAAGCCTTTAACATAAAATGCGCTCTCATTCCCAAATGCATTTCTTCCACCAGTGTCCTCCCATCCAGAAATCTCTGCACAGGGAATCCTCTGGAGCATCCTTCCCTCCTTCCTCCTCTGGGATCCATTCCTGAATCCTTAAATCCAGCTAGGATGGCATTCCAGATCATGATATCCTGGAAATCTTATTAACAAGGATTTCTGTGTTTTCCTCTTTTCCCCCCTCCCATTCTCTCTATTGGATGTTGCCACTTTCTGTCATGATGTAACATCCCCTACCTCTTCTAATCCCATCACCTCCTCACCTGGGAAACCTTCATACCTCCCTCCATGAACTCCTACCATCATTCTCCCGGGAAGCGGCCGCATCACTTACCATGATATGTGCGAGATGCTTCGCGACATGTCCCCTCCGCTAGGTTTGGGAAAGAAATGTCCCCCCAGAGTCGCCTATAAGGTAGAATTACTCCTTCCTCCTCCATACCCCTCCGTCTGCAGTCACCTGTAAAACATACAACATCAGGCTTCTATCAATGTGTCGTAGTTGGTTTCTTCTGGCCTGCTGTTGTGTTGTTCTTTCTGTTCATCTGTGAAGCTCTGTGGCCTGTCCTGCTCTGTGAAGGTTTACTGTATACTCTGTTCATCTACTGGAGGGCCATGCAACACTTATGAATAAAAATAGTTCAGAGAGCTGAGCAAAACTATAATATGTGACAGTTCTCCACAAATTGAGAACGTACTGAGTTCTACTGAGCTTTTTAGCCTAATTTGGCTCATAGTTTTGGTTTTAAAACAGTCTCAGCGCATTGAACTTTGTTTACAGTAGCAGCTGTTTGGTCAGACAAACTCTGATTAGGGTGTACTCACACTAGGCGATCCGTACCGTGCCCCAAGCACGTTTAACCCCCAAACTCCGGTTCGTTTGACCAGTGTGATCGCTCACGGTTAAGCGTAATGTGTCCGAGCCGGGCCCAGTTGAAACGGTGGGCTCGGCCACAGTTAGGCTGGACTCCGGCACGGTACACATCTAATGTGATCGCTAAGCATGCCGGAGCACGGAACCCCGACACAAACTCCACTGTGCCGTATGAGAAAGAGCGCGCTTTTTTCTTCCAAAGAGTGCAGTGTTGCCCACAGAATGACAGTCAATATTGACTTCCAGCTATTTACAGCGTGCTTACCTCGACAACCTGGTGTGATCTAACGTTAACATAACTCTCTTTATTAGCTAGGCTCCTTACATGCTCGCTAATAACTTTTTTAAAGGTGGGTCTCTGAAATTGACTGTTGTGTTGGACAGATTTGTGCAGCGGTGTTCATGAGAGACAGAGAGAGAGAGAAAGACACTCTGTAATCAACTACGATTTTAAATAGACCTAGTAAAATAAATCACACATCAATATATGGCGGTCGGCCTTGATACTGTGGCAGGCTGCCACAAACAAATCAATGTATGGGAACACTGACTGAGTGATGACATAAAGTGCTCCGGCTCAGATCGTTAGGCGCAAAGTGAGCGCAGGCCCATGGGGGAGTGGTGAGGGGGGACAATCGTGCTCGCGCACGGTACAAGGCAACTGGGCCTAGTGTAGAGTACACCCTAACTCACTGTACACCACCTGTCCAGCACCAAATAAGAGACAGACAAGATCTAACTTTGTCAAATAACTTGGATTATGGAAAAAATATGTGCAGAACTACCACGGTTACCTCAGAACTAATGTTCCCTTCAGCCTCAGATGTAGTATGTGTTTAGTGCTATTTAGCATGTTAGCATGCTAATGCCTGTAACTATGATCTTGAACCATAGACTATATATAAAGATAAACGAATCATCTCCACTTCCACCTCAGCTGAAAAAATGTATTTGACCTCTACTTAGATTTTTTATTTGGCCAATGTCACATCCGCTAACAGGAGGGGGGGTGGTTTAGACCTATACTGCAGCCAACAACAATGAAATTAGGTGAAAGGTGATGTATTTCAGTCCCATCTGGATTCAGACCACTACAAGATGGGCCATTTAAGAACACTTTCACCATCATCCATCAGCTCCTGCATTGACTTGATTGAGGGAGAACCTGGCACATTTATCCTATGAGTATATGTAGGACTTGTAAACTAGTGAAGTAGCCAATATATAACTCACCAATCCCCAGGTAGTCCCTCTAGGAGCTGTTTACCTTTTAGCATACAGACTTAATGTGAGTGGTTCCAGTGCATGCACAGCTGTCGAAATGAATCACAGTTAAAGCAGCCCTGCCCTTGCCCCAGTTAAAAATGTCTGGGTCTGACGTGGTCACATCTCTAAATATAACTCCTGTTTTTGTGAATCGACAGAGGAAGACATGAACAAAGACACAGCGAGAGCAGCAGCAAAGCTAGCATTTTTTCCCCATCTCTATTTTTCTATTTTTTCCCCCTCCCACTGCTTTGCAGTTGATCGCGGCCCTTGTTAACCTCCCTTCTTGCTGAACACATCTTCCCCTGACAGTCACAATTGTCCCTGCTACCCTCTCGTTTCCAGCTTTGTGTTTCGTCTTCAGGCTAAGTTTCACTCTCTTTCGAATGATCTTTCTTTCAACCTCTCAAGGGATTTGCATCCTTTCTTCCCTTTCCTCTAGCTTCACTGTGTGTACGTGTGTGTGTGTGTGTGTGTGTGTGTGTGTGTGTGTGTGTGTGCCTGGTAAGCATGTCCTCTGCATATGTGCTTTTTGATTATGTGTTTCTTTGTTTGTCTGATGCTCTTGTCTGCAGTTACCATCCTTCTGCCCTCTGTTTCTGGGCAAAAGACGCAAGACTTTACATGCGTAGATGCTTTCCAGTTGAGGCGCTTACTCCCCCTCCTCCTTCTCCTCCCGTCTTTCCCTGTCATCTTGCCATCTCTTAATACTGTATTGTTATGCTCCCACAGTGAATATACTTTCTCCTTAAATCTTTTATCTCTGCTTGAAGGAAATGGGAATCATCAGCTACAGTTGTCCTTTTGTCGCAATTGTTTCTGATGGTTTTTACTTTTGCCTTTCAGTTCATTTTTTTCCCCTTTTAATTAGAAGATCTATATCCAGTACATGCCTCTACCACCCCTCAATCCTCACTGTGAATGTGGTGTACTAATTCAAACATGTGTGTATGAATCATTTCATTTCATTTCATTGCAGCATTGATCCAGAAGTCCTGCATGGTGTGGATTTAATGCAACTCCGTTTGTACTTTTATAAATGAATGTCTGATGATTTTTAAATATCATAACTGTCTGTATGAATACTGATTCATTAAGAATAATAGAGCCTTTGTGCTGCCCAGTAATTGTCACTAATCACTAATCTAGATGTTTGAATCTATAACATGTCAGAAAATAAGGATAACTCAAGATATATATATATATATACTTTTGTTTTTGCCCCCATTCATCATGAGCTGAACTCAAAAATCTTAGACTTGTTCCTATTTCTCTCAAATATTGTTCAAAAATCTGTGTTAGTGTCAAGATGCTGATCAGACAGCATGGGTATTGCACAGGTGTGCCTTAGGCTGACCACAATAAAAGGCCAGCCTAAGGCACACCTGGCTTCTGGTGGATTTGAGATAGTCTCATAGCAACAGCAGCAGCCATAAACAGCACAGAGCTCCCTGCACTGATGTGTTTAGTGTGTGTGTATGCTGGTCACACAGGCTGAGGCCTTTGCATGGCCTGTAACTTTTAATTAACTTATCGAATAATAATTTGACAGAAAATTAATTGCAACAATATTCCTAAATGTGTGAGGATTTTCTCTGTTTCATATCATTATGAATTAAATATCTTCTGTTTTTTCTGGACAAAACAAGACACTTGAAAACTCTAGGATATTGTGATGGGCATCTTTTACTATTAGTTAGTTGTTTAGTCTATATAAGTTATAGACTAAACATTTAATAGAAAAAAAACAATCAAAAGATTAATCATCAATGAAAATAAGTATTATTTGCAGCCTTAACATATAACTGTGGAGGTTCTTCACCTGATACTTTAAATTAAGTAATTAAATTAAATACAAACAAATATTCATTACTTTGTACTCATTACATCCAAAGCTAAAATTTAAAACAGCTCATTTGACTTATAGCTACATATTAAATCCAGTCTCCTTTCCCTGAGCTGTTGATAGTTCGTTCCTGGTTCATGGCTCTTCCTTTTTGCTTCCATCCCTCGCAGCGCTTGGTAAAGATGAACATGCCCATTGCAGATGACAACACGGTGCACTTCACCTCCACATTGATGGCCCTGATTCGCACAGCCCTGGAGATCAAACTGGCATCTGGTGAGAGACTAAAACTACAAAATCCAGAATCCCTTGCGGCCGGACTGAGGGCTCTAATGTTAATGTGAATGGCGGTGATCGCTCTGGTGCAGATTTGATGTGACATGTTTATGGGCGCATCCCCAGGGGTCCTGGCGCAGCGTTTGTGCGATGCTGACCTGAAGAGGGAGTTAAACCGAGTCTGGCCCAACCTGTCGCAGAAGACCGTCGACCTGCTGGTGACGCCACACAAATGTGAGTCGCAGTTTTGTTTGGGTTCTACCCAGGAGTTTGCTTGTCACTTTACTTGTTCTTGTTTATTTTTGTAAATTTAATCTTTTAAAATTGTCTTTTTATATGGCTGTGCACTGGCTCCTATTTAGTATTTTTTGTATTTTATTGAGTCCTAAATGTCTTACTTTCCTGAAAAATAACTGCTGAAAAATACAGACTCTGGTGAGATAATTGTAGCCTGTTTCCAGTCCTAATTAACATGTTTCACTTTAACCTTGATCGTAGTTCATTGATCTGTCTTATTGTCTTTTTTTAAGATTCTAACACTCATTTATAGATATTTCTTGAAAGAAATAATCATACAACACTGGCAGGTTTTTAACTTGACTTGAAACTAAGTAAGACTAAAGTCTGTTTTTGAGCCATAGAGGTTTTAGCTTCTAAACACACAATACAAATCAACACATTTCACAGATGTTCTAGATTCTAGAGAAGATTTTAGAGTAGTGCCTGATTTCTTGATGTTAGTGCACTGATATGAATTATTCTGCTTTTCTTGTCAACATGCTGACTCAAATATAAAGAAAAGTCAAAATAACAACACTGTGTACAGCTTACTGTTTTTCAAGTAAACATGACAGTAAGGCTCAGTTCACACCCACACCGCCCAGGCATACTGTCCATGCCCCCCCTCTCTGAGCTGTCCTTTGTTGCTCATCTGGCGCCATCTACTGCCCAAATGGAGGAACTGTCTCTCACTCTTTTCTCCTCTTCTCCAGACAATGAGCTTACTGTGGGGAAAGTCTATGCAGCGCTAATGATCTTTGACTACTATAAGCAGAATCGTGCCAAAAGACTCCAGCAACAGAATTCTTCTGGGGGACCTCAGGTAAAGAGCTGAGGAAGGAAAGAACTGAAGGGAGAAGAAGGGAGATGATTTTGTGTGTAAAAGGATTTTTATATGTATTTATATTTTTATATTTTCTATTTCTGCTGACTAAACAAGACTAACAAGACATAACCCCTTGATATTTCAGACACACATGCATCAGGTGTCTAATTTCAAAGTTTTCAGCTCATTTTTTTAGTGATGTCTTAAGACATTAACTCCTGAACTGAGCCGAATAAAAAGACAATTATTTTTTTTTGCATCATTAACCCATGTTTTATTCCTTATATCAAACTCCAGCTTTGTTGTGGCCAAATTTTCTTAGTTTTATGAAATTCTGAAGCCATTTAAGTACTTTTTTACATTTAAGTAGTATTTTTATTAGGATTTTCTTAAATTATAGAATATTTTCATTGTTTCCAGCAGGGGTGTCGTGTGGTAGTCAGAACTATGCATATTTAAAATTCATCTGCCAATGGGGTGAAGTCATTTCACTTGCTTTGTATATGAATTAATAGCGACATGAACTCATTTCAAGTGATCCAATTGTCATTTTGGTGATACAGCTGCAGCCACCTGCGCTACTCTGTCTTACACAAGCTAATTAACTTTTGAAAACTCAATAATAGACTTAATAAAAGACATAAGAGGATCATTTTTATTATTTAATACAGTAACATTTGACCTTCTACTCGCATATAAACTCTCATTTAAACTGATCTGGTGTCTTTCAGTGTATATACAATTTTTTATGCTGGTACCTGATATATTAAAATTGTTAATATAATGACTTTGTAATGACTTTATGACATTTGCTGTTGATCTCTACTGCAGAGTAAACTGGGGGCGTTGTTCCGTCCTATGCTGCCCCTCACTCACATACTGGAAGTAGAACCGCCAATGTCCAGCCCCAAACAGCCCCTTCCACCCAAGCCTGAGCCACAAGCAAAGCTAGATACACTGCCCACCACAACCACCACCTCAGTTAAAAGGGACGCAATGTAAGTGACCGTCTCCTCTGTCACATACAGTAATAATGATTTTCACAAATGTAACCTATTCACATCCTGAGGAACATTGCTTTTAATTCCTTAGCAGTGGTAGAAGCGCCACCCTATGACCACACCAACCACAATAACAATCTGGAGTCCATTTATCATTGACGACTTTAACACATTGTATTATATCTAAAACAAACCAAAACAATTATTAGTTTTATTATCGATAAATCAGCCGATTATTTTCTCGATTATTTGATAAATTGTTTGGCCTTTAAAACATCAGAAAACTGTGAAAAACGGCCATCACAATTTCCTAGAGCTCAGACTGACACAATCAAAACAGTTTTGTCTGAAACTCAAAGATATTCAATGAACTATATCGTAAGCTGAAAATTTGACACCATAAAATGTTTGGCATGAATGCTTTAAATCACATAAAGGATTAATTGATTATTAAAATTATTTTTTTCTTTTAAACACTGACAGTTGAATGTTGTGCAACCAAACACTATCCTTGGTTATTTAAAAAAAAAAAGGTCTTTCCTCAGTTTATATTTTATCCTACAATGCTGATAAGTTACCAATATGACAGTCCGAGCTCTTGTCTGTTCGTATACAGACTAAACCAGAGGAGTGCCATAAAACATTCCCAGTCCGGAGATATTTCTCAGGCAGCACAGAGACCCAAAGGCCGAAGGAAACTACAGAGAGGCCAGTCAGAGGATGTGCCATATTCCACCAGACCTCAGGTACACCAACACCAAGAAAACTCCATCATCTAAATGTCATTTTACATTCGAACTTTGTGTTGCCTTCATACATACTTCTTCTTTTTCTGTCAGGAATTGGTTGAACTGCAGCAGGTGGAGAACATTTCAGACACAGAGGGCTATCCAAGCCTGGAAGGCCACTGCAGAGCGGCTTCTCTGCCCAGACTCAATGCTGAGTACTACGTAAGCTCTTCAGTGCCCGTGATGCCATGCCTCTTGTCTTACTGCTCATTCACAGTTGTTTTGTATGAGCAGCATTCTTGTGATAATATCAGGTTTGGAAAATGCAGACAGCGTGGATACCTGCTGACCCCAACCTCACCGGTCTGACAAGTTCACATGTTTTTTGCCAAGGAGGAAATTCAGGATAGAGATGGACAGCAAAGGAGACAGAAAAAAAGTTGTTGAATTACTGCTGCTACTTCTAAAAACGGAGAAGAGCTATCATATTAGCCCGCAAGCTGTGACTATGATAACCTGCTTGCTACTTTATGCTTTATCACACTTATATCATGAGCAACTTCATTATGAGAAACACAGCCATTGCAAAACCTAAAATCTCTTTCCCCATTCAAGTGGTGCCACACTACTAGTATTGTCATATCCTGATTAAACATTTTTAACTAATTAGCTAATTTACAAAAAACGGCAGGACTATTATATATTTGGATATTGAATGAAAAGTTGAACTGGAGTCAGTGTTCTACTAGATGAGCCTGTAAGTCTCAATTATTAAACCCAGCCTTGGTCATGTTTTAGTGGAATTACCTTTTTTAAAAGGAATAGTTTAACATTTTGAGCTTTCCGAGAGTCACATGAGAAGATCGATACCATAGCTATGTTCCTGCCTTAAGTATGGAGTTGGTGCTTGCTGTGCTTACAATAAGAAGTAGTTAAAAGACTCATCAGTGATTATATCATGTACATAACTCCCCCTAAAACCACAAATGTTGATTTTACATTTGTGTGTGCGTAGAGATTAAATCAATTATATATAATGTGTTTATTAGTGAGCTTTAGAGGTGTTAGTAGGTGTGTGTTTTAACTTTGGACAGCGCCAAGCTAGCTGTTTCTCCATTTTTCCAGGCTTAATGCTAAGCTAAACTAACCATCTCCTGGCTCTAGCTCCATACTTAATGCATCCACACGAGAGTGAAAGGGATTTTCTTCTCTGACACACCAAAAAATGTTTAACTATTCCATTTAGTCCATGTCCCCTGCAGTCCAAATATTGAGATATTAAAAAGGGATGTGAATGAAGATGATGTGCTTTTTATTTTTATAAATTTCACTTATTTTCATCCATGTTTCAATTTTTTGCTCTCTTAATGTCATTTTGTGAGTAGCTGCTCTTCTCTGCTGCATATGGATGTCATGTCAAGAGGATTTGTCTGTCCATCATTTTTCACCTGTCCGATCTTGTCAGTTTAGCTTTGCTGTTTGCCTGTCTCTGTGTTTTTGTCTGTCTCTCTCTCCGTCACCCTGCTGTCTCCCACAACACTTAACATGTGCTTTCCTTAAGTTTATGTTGCATTTAATGTCACACACTCTTTTTTATATGATAAGGCTGGGTTTATCCTGTATTTTTGTTATGGTCAACACATCCCGTGAAAAGACTAAACCAGTGATGTTGTCAGTCCAACCCTCTCTAATTTGCAATTTCCTGCCCCTTTGTACCAAATGAGGATGTAATGCTTTAAAAACTGCTCATGAATATGTAGTCTTGTGTTTCATCAAACAGCTGGCCACTTTAGTTTTTAGCATGTTACTCGAAAAGGAGAAAGTAGTGCATTTGTCCATATTTCCAGCAGCAGGACAGTATATGTGTGATTGAGTCAAAATAAACTACATTGTGTGTGTGTTCATGGTTAATGAAGGAACATGTCACCCAGTGCCCAGTGTTGCTCAGTGTTTTTAAAAGTGTATGACAACAATGCAACGCTGTGGCGCAGAGAAATAAGGATCACAACACTCGTTAGTAGGAGTAACACATTTTTGGTTTTGGTGTTTTCATACGATTTATTGACAGTAAGAAAAATATAGAATATCACCAGCCTTATTCTTCTTGAGTCTCTGCTCTCCTCTTCTGTCTTCCCTTTCTCCTGATTTCGATCCACTGCTAATGTTTTGCCCACCTCCCTCTTGTGTGTGCTGTCTGATAGCGGAGCCACCCTCGCCACGCCCCTGGGACCCACCTGGCAGTATGTACCACCTGTTGTGCCACCTCTGTCTTTCTCTTCTTCTTCTTCTCCTCTCGTTCTCTCCCTGTTTTTCTTCTTCTCACATGTCTGTGTTTGCCTCCATGTGCTCCTCTCATCTCAGTGTGGAGTTCATACCCTCTTAACATCATGGACAAAGTGACCCTCCTATATATACATTATACACTGGTCATTCCATGAAATTGCTAATAGACATAATACATGCAACACACACATTTAGATTATCCACAAAGAACACCCAGATTCCATCCCTGGAAAAGTATTTGTATGTGTATCCAGGGTATGTCAAGCACTCTGTCCTGCTTTTCAGCCATTAACTACAGCAGTACAGTACTACACTTTGGTACAATGTGGTTGTGTGTACGTGAGTGTTGTTTCATGTTACGTAGTAGTGTGTAGTAGTGTAGTAGTCTGTAGTTTTTTGTGAGTTGGTGTGTGATTGTGAAACAAGGCAGGGACAGTACTGCTGCTTTCTTGCTTTGAAATAACTATTATCTTTAAACTACACCACAAAAGCTCGTCCAACCTTATCGGTCATTTGATGTTACTTTCAGTCTTAAAATCTTTTTTTCTCACTCATAATAACAAAAGCAAACAGAACAGGGCTGATATACCTCTGGAATATTTCACTGACCTGCACTTTAAGACTCTTTGAAAGAAACAGGTGGAATTATTTTTTCTTGTTAATAGCATATCATGGTAATCTAAAAGATAAGATTTTAAGACTGCATCCTAATTTAAAAAATGACTTGGTAATATGGATATTTTCCAGTGTTGTGTTATTGTTGTTCCTGACTGTAGCTACAGGCTAGGCTGTGGGATGTGAACAAGAGGAACAGCACAACCACTCTAGTCTGTGAAAGTCATTGAATGAGTCATTGAAATCATTGAAAATAGTATTTCATCAACAAATTGTTTGCCCCCTTAAATCTTGAATAACTATTACCTAAAAGACATAATCTCGGCAGTAACCAGCAGGTGGGGTGGTAACTTAGCTGCTGTTCCAGTTCCCTATCACATCAGTTTATTGCCTGTTAGCTGTACTGGTCAGTAAAAGGGAGAGAAGAAGTAGGTGGGGTGAGTGTCAGTGTCTTCAACACATTAGTGAAAGTATTAATCCCTGGAGAGAAATTGATGAATTTAAACTTTTAAAGGAATACACCACCGTATACTTAAAGCTGCTATAATCAATATTGTATAATAATATTGTATCAAAAGACAATGTGAAAATAATGTGAAACCCAACTCTGTAGCTCCTCTTGGCTTCACAGCTTAAGCTGTACAGCGAATTATTGTTAAACTTTACTGTTTTGATTCACTCACGAGGCAGCTGTTTTTAGTGAAAAAGCTTTAACAACCCCAAGTACGCTATCTGCTCAGCACCAAATGGCAAACAGGCAAAGTTATAAAGACTATCTGGTGAACATAGCAGAGCATTTAGCCGCTAAAGAGGTTTATATTTCCCACAGGATTTGGTAGAGTCCAAAAACAGAGCTAAAAGAGAGTGAATATTGGACTTACATTCTTGAGGTGACCAGAAACCCTCCAAATGAATGCTAATGCTGCTCTGTGACTGCTCGATGTGTAAATAAGCAACTGTTTGCTAACAAGCTGGCAATATCAACTTATAAGGAAATAATGTGGTCGTGTCTAGATGGTAACCCTAGATTTGCGAAACTCTTGTACGTGAGCACTTTACTCCACATGCGCTGGCAATCTCAGGTATACTAGGACTTTAAAACATTCTATAACAATGGCGGTGACAAGTGGCAGTGATTTATTATTTTTAGACCTAGCTGACTTATTATTTCCATTTTTAAAAAATGTGTTTTTCAGTTATCAGTCGCAGTTTGGTTAGGTTTACCAAAGCTTCAGGGTTTGAGTTAAAATAATAAGTCAGCATTGACTTTTGGCTTCACACAGGGTACAAACAGTGGTGTATCCAGTGGTGTGTCCTGCCTTTCTGGCAGAAAGCCGTGCACACTGTGCACAATGAAGAAACGTCATGTACAACATGTACAAATCTCGTGAGAGTTTTCGCAAATCTAGGGTTACTATCTAGACATCACCCAGTAAGTCCATTGCTGTGAGTTTGTAATTTCAACATTATTCCCCAAATTAATTTTATGATGCCTGTGCAACTGAAGTGTTGACATTCTCTCTGATAGCTATCAGGCATAATATTGGTTACAATGAGATGTGGTATGATAGTCCTGAATCAGGTGTCATGTAAAAAAGCGAAAAATACTGGAAAGGCCATTGTCAACGCCCCACCTCTTCTTTGTTCATTAACAGAGACGCCTGCTAGCTTGCGAATTATGTTAGTTTTGTAACAGTAAGTATTTAAGTTCAGTCACAGATGTGTGTTCATTCTTCTCAAACTTTTCTTACATTGGTGCCTGGAGAAGAACGGGTAGAGCGTCTGTCTTAAGATGAAAGGTTGCCGTCCACTGGTTGTGTCATTTGTGTGTCGTGGATATTTTGATGATCCAGTATAAGTGGTTTGGGTAAAACCACAACAGCTGCCCCTCTGCTCTACTATATCCTCACGCCTCCTCGTGTTTACTCTTTCCCTCTCAGCCAATTGTCGACCTCAGTCCTATTAGACGCTCAGCATCCTCGCTGACACAGCAGCGCTACCAGGAGGTTGGGCTAAGGGAGTATGACCTGGAACGACCCGGCATGGCGTCAACCACGCCAGGGCAGGTCCAGGGCCAGGACAGAGCCCACCACCATCACCACCACCACCGTTGCCATCGACGCAGGGACAAGGACAGAGACAAGAAGCAGAGGTCCCTGGACAGAGCATCATCAGTGCAACCGTCCAGCACTGTTGGTGAGACAGAAAAAAACCCTGTATATTATGACGTTAATATCGTTGATAGTATTGATAAATTGGATTTTTATAGGCTTTATCATCCTGTACATCATTGAACACAAAACATTAGAACACAAGGTAAAGTCTTTTTTGATGTTCAGACTGACATTAGCACTGCATGAGAAAATGCAGCCCACTCATTTAAAAATAATCAAGGTCTAACTTTTGTAATTCAGCTTCTGAACCACGTTTGTAAACTGCTAGATATGGTCAGCCAAACACAGTAATTATTCAGGAATATTCATATTAAGATACTGAACTTCCAATAGCCCTTTTCAGTAAAAAGTTAATTAAAGTTTAGTGAAACAAGGCATTTACTCCTTTTTAAGCTCTGTGTGATAACAAAACTGTAATCATTTCTGTTCATCACAATCAATACACTGTCATGCTTCCGTTGTTTTATCACAAAAGTCAAACACAAAGTGAAAACACCCTACCTCACCAGTTTGGTGAAAAGAAAAGGTAATTCTTGCCCCTGGAAACAGTAGTTTTGACATTAAAAATGTCCACTGACTTTTTTGGGACATTCATTCACATGTGGTGGTCTTCCTCAGCAAATTTCTCCATGCAACTGAGCAGGCTCCGTCCGCTGAGCTAGTAAGTGGACCTTCAATCGGATTTATTTGTTTTGTGTGTTGTTTCCTCCATGTGGTCCCTTCTATTGACTCTCAGTCATGTCACCTGATGATGACTAAGATGATGACTCATCAAGTAAAGACTAAGGGAAATTCAATATGCTGTCATCCTGTAATTACTACTTGTGGCCACAGTGGCGCTCTTCAGTTAAAAGTTACACAGTCTTGCTTCACATGCTTTGTTACATCCTCTGGGACTCGCTGACAATACTAATAAAATATTAACATTTTACTATAAATATGTCATCACATAGAGCTTAAAACTCATGAATGAAGTTCATTCAGAAGGAATATTTAAGGTTGTTGAGAGATAAATTACTTTAACACAGCAATATTAATTCATATCAACGAGAATATCCACATAGAAACTTGACATCACTTTCATGGAGAGAAGGCGATAGCAGGTCAGGCTTTCTTAGTAGATCACTTGGATGTATTAACGTAGTTGCAGAAATTCTTTATAGGATTAAAGTTCCATGATCGGGTTATGTAGGTGAAAGGGTTTCTGCTGGCTTCAACCAGGGATTTTACATGACAGGCTTTCCATTTGATTAGCAGAGAGGGTTGTGAGCTCTCAGAGGAAAATCTGCTTTTCTGGGGATTTCTTTTTCTTTCTTTTTTTTGTATCAGTTGTTCCCTATGTTCCCTCTAAATGTAACAGTTATATTTATAAAATGTAGACTGAGCTCTCTGATAAGTGCTGGCATGTCTGATCTGTCTGTTTTGTATTGTTACACACACACACACACACACACAAAACACTATTCTACTTCTGACATACAGTAAATCTAAATTGTCTTTGCCAGACAATCAGGGTGCACCAGCAGTCATTGGCTGTTTCCCATGAATGAGGTTACATCTCTTTCTCGAGCTGAACTTTGGAGTCATCTGTAAAATTCATATAAATAAAATAACAACAGATGATTTGCTGTTGAGGGGCACTAACAATCATTTTAAAGAACTTCACTGTATACTTTTGAATACATTTACACATGCTTTTATGGCTTATCATTTGGAACAATTTATATATAACTTATTTCATCAGGTAATCTCATAGAGATCTTTTGCAAGGGAGACCTTAGTACAGCAGAGATAAAGGAAACCAAATAGAAGGACTGATACATACTACAAACATAACCAGACAAACAAAGGCACATAAAATATAAAAAAGAAGAAGAATATAGGAATATAGCCAGACATAAAAACATACATAAAGCATTGGAAACAATCAGACACATCAATAAATACATTTGAAGTTTAAAGCTTAAAATGGCCAGCCGGATGAAACATTCAAGTTTTAAAATCCTCTGCAATTCCTTCCATGTATAAGGTGCAACGTAGCGGAAGGCAGTCTGCCCAAGTTCAGTATTTACCCGAGGGGTTACTAGAATGAAACCGTCAACTCTGGCAGGAGACCTTTATAAATACAAATGATAGACTGTAGTTCTCTAATAATGACTAAAACAGAAACAAGTTTTATGCCTGAAGAATGTTAGAGGCAGATTGTTATCTTAAGATAGTTTGAGTTGAAGAGGAGCCAAATGCTTACAAGGCTGTGTCATCTGCATAAAAATGGATATTATGTGTCTGTGTTGGAGTGATAACATTGTTTATGTAGAAATGTAAATAGTAAAGGACCCAGCACAGAACCTTGGTACCCCATTATTTGTCCCAAAGGCAGTTGTTTTGAGTCCATCGGTACAGATTCCTTGTGTTGCATTAAAGTATGCTCAGACAGCAACAGCAGACAGTTTATTGCAACAAATGACCAAATTCACAAAATCCTTTTCTCACCTTTCATTTTGCCGTAATATTTTCCTCTAGGTTTGATTTCAGGACTTCTTTCCTTGCCAAGCTTGAGCTAATACAGCCTGAGAGCTGGTGGCTGAGTGTTTTTTGTGTTAACACTGGAGGGCGGCAGCTGGGCTTTATTGCTGAGATAAAAGGCCATAGTGGACAGGTCCAGCCCAGGGATTTATGGGTACCCCTTGGTGAGATAGCAGAACATCCAGCAGCCCTCTCTACATCTATTAAAGTGAGAGGAACCGCAAAAGAGTGAAGTTGTGTTTCACTCCTCATAGCTTGTCATTCTTGAGGCAGATCTGACACATCAGAATGATGAATAGGCTTACTGTGTTTCTGTCATCACAGTTTTAATCTGAAAACTGGAATTATTCCAGCACTGAAGAGAGTAATTTCACCACACTGCTTTGCTTTATGCCACACAACCAAAAGAAACACACATGCACACACATAGATGAGCCATTTGCCTTTAATTAGAGGTGTAATGAAATGTCTTCGAAGACAAATTGACAGTACAAAAACATAATTACATATATCACGAAACTAACACAATTATCACAAATTATCCCAAATCAATTGGCTGAAGCATCAGTGTTGACTTTCAGCACAAGATAATGACCAAGCTGAATTTAGACACAATATGAAGTGAAGGGACCCACTCGTAAAAAAATATTGCTCCTGTACACTCCACAGGGTACATTTAATCTTAAATTTTGTTGTAGAATAGAGAATTTGTTGTAGTGCCTGAGTCAGTAGTAAGGTGACTCTTTTTACAAACTTTACAAACAAATAGCTGTACCCTATCCAGTGATTGATTTTGCCACACATGACTCCATGGATTTTTTTGTGTCATGACTATAGAGCGTGGTTTGCTTCTTTTCTCCATTGTGGCACTAATGAAAAGAACAATTGCTTCGCTACTGATTCTTCACACATCCACATTTTTTACATCTTTGAAAATTTGAATTCAACCAGATCTTTACAGATCGATGTTTTGCATTCAAAAGCAATGATGAGATGATAAAAGTGATAGCTAAAAATTTACTATATAGTATACTGCATCTTCCACCTGCTCCTTCTCATTTCATTTGGTGGCACCCTCCTCCAGGTTCGTTTACCGACCCTTCAGCTGAAGGTTTGTCCAGAGAACGAGCGAGGGAGCGGGACCGCAGCAGGCCTCATGAGCGGAGGCACCACTCCTCAGCAGGAGAGAAGCAGCGCTACTACTCCTGCGAGCGTTACGGCAGCAGGGAGCAGTGTCACACCAAGTCAGCCGGTCCCAGCCGATCCACATCTCCCGGAGAGGGACAGGACGCTGGTTTGCTCAAACAGGTGAGTTACCTGCTGTGTGTCACTAAGTGATTACCAGCTAACTTGTCCTGCACAGGCTGCAGTCCTCAAACATTTGGACAGTGGCAAATGTTTCATTGTTTTGGCTCTGTAGTCCAGCATATTAGACAGAATAAAACCAAACTGTAAAATTGAGATCACATATCAAAACATCCACAATTATTACACTAGACTGTTCAAATAAAAGCTACAGTTTGGGACTTTAAAGAGTAACTTTAGACCAGACTTAACACTGGCCTCTCTGAGTTTTGAGACGTTTTGAGCCTGCTTCACCTCTGAAACAACAGTGATGTCACAGTGTACTGGCACACCCTGCAGTGCACTTTGACATCATTGCAGCAATGTGAGAAGTTAAACTTTTGGAAGTCATCAAAAACAAGACTTTTAGTGGGTGTTAAGAGGTTCTTTAATCACCAGTGTGTTGGAGCTCTAAACCAACGCAACAAAAAAATATCTCTACTTACAGACTTATGTACTGTATGTAAAGAAATGCCTTTCACTGAAGCAAACGCACTAATGTGAAAGCGCTCTAAATTCTCTTAAAAAGCATTAATAGATGTGATTTTGTATCATTTTGTTAGAGCAAGTACAGTATTTCTTGTCTACACAAATTTTAGATGTTTAATTTTTTTTCCAAAGTTGGTAAATGTACTTTCTTCTTATTCATACATTGCATTTTATAATTTGTTTTCTCAGCATGGTAGCAGTGTGGTTAGAGCTGGCCCTTTAACGCTCCCCTCGGGCTCGAGCACTCTGGGCCGTAGTCGCAGGCAGCTCCCACAGACCCCCCTCACCCCTCGTCCTGCTGTGGCCTACAAGACAGCCAACTCCTCACCTCTCCCGTCCGGTGCCAGCACCGCTACGACGGGGCACCAGACTCGCTTCAGCCGTGGCCTTTCAGAGCACGATCGCTTATTCGGGGGCCACAACGAGTCCCCGATACCGGTCACCCGCATCGGTTCAGACCCTAACTTAAACCGGCAGCCGCAGGTCGCTTCTCAACAGGCCCTACTTGAAGAGCCGGAGGACACTGTGAGCAGCCACGGAGGAGGACGCTCTGCCAGAACTGCTGCCTCCACCACAGCCTCAGCTTCACACGGAACTGCTGCTGCGCCCGTCACAGCCCGGGCGGGGGTGGTGCCTAATGGGTACCACTTCACCCTCGGGGTGAACTCTGCGTCTGGGCCTGGGAGCCGAGGAAGTCTCAGGGAGAGGGAGGAAGAAGACTGGTGCTAATATGTCAGAAAACTGTTAGCTGAGGACGGTTCAGTTTATCAGTGTTGTACAGCGCGCATGTCCGGTCCAGTGAGCTGACAGGAAGCTGACAGATAAATACAGAAGGAAAGATAGTGAGGAAAAAGCCAGAGGAAAGTGCTGTAAAAGGGGATCAGAAATCATTCCAGCTTTGTAGTGTTACTCTCCTTTTTTATACAACAAACTCTTTAAGGAAAAAAAGACACTGAGGACGTTTTCTACCCCCTTTACTTGCACTGAAATTATAGCACAAGTGAAGACCCTTAAGTATTTTGCCTTGGCCTGTAAAACCAGTGGAGCAGAAGACAAAAGCCAAAATCCCCTCATTCTTTGAGTGAACGCTGAACTGTGTTTCAGACAGATCTGAATGCCTCATTTCTGGTATTAATATGGCCGCCCGCACTGTTTTTATTTTTGTATGTTTCATTTTGTTTCCTCTCTATGGATGTTTTTTCTTCATCAGCCATTAGTTTGTGGTGATCACTTAATTAGGAATATTAGGAAAACAAATTTATTTGGGTCTTAAGCTTCTGCCACAACACCGGACCAAGTGAGTAATGTGACATGGGTTTTCATGATCATGTTTTTGTAAATTGTACCAGACGTACATTTTGAGTGGTCATAGGGACTAGATATCTCTTTTCTGACGTTATGTGGCTGAAAACTAAGTGCCTCGTTTTCCAAAATGTATTAAGATGCAGCCTGGTCAGACAGACTTGAATATACCATAGAGGATGCTGTGTGTACACAGGTGAGAAAAAGTGTAGAGAACAAAGTTTGAATCTGGTATAATGGACAGAATGCAAAAAAAGACAACACTTTTTTGTACTGAATCTTGTGGTAGGTATGTCAGAATTACAGATCCAAAGTAAGCAATGTAGTGCATGCCAGGGTCTTGAACTTGTCAAAAAATAGTGTCTGTACTTTTGCTTAAGGGTGTGTGGTAAGCATTTGCCTTTCTCTTTCAAATATACTGCCAGTCAGTTGGTAGAAATGGTCTCTGAATGGAGAGAAGTGCCATTTTTTATTTCTAATCAACAAAAAATATTCAGAAACACTTGCCTCCTCTAGCATATAGTATATATCTCATCTCTGCCATATTTACCCATATTTCATGGGTTTCCTTTCTTCTTACCTTTCCTCTGAGAGCAGTATTGTGTGAGGGCTTGAAGGCGAGGTTACCTGTTTGTGTATTCACAGGTACAATAAAGAGTTGTGTTGTTGCTGCGGACTGTTGACTTAAAGTAGGGCTATGCAACAAGACGACACTTCATCTGCCCTGTAGCTTTACCCTCTGGAATCTCCAGGTTCAGGCTTTAGTGTGACTGCGACCAAATTTTACATTTATGTATGAAGAGATATAAATTGTAAATGTAATATTATATAATGTACAGTTAACTGAAACACACAGGCACAAATGGTATCAAAGCTGATGTATGTGGATCATGGGGCATTTTTGGTTGGCAAGTTGACTGCATGACGCCTACCTAGACTGAACCACCCAAAATATAAAACTATGTTCTTTCCAGACTTGGGTCAAGTTGTATTTTTAAATCATTTTAGTGTTGTTGTTTTTTTTAAACTTGCTCAGAAAAACAGATGAATTGGATTAATAGAGTGGTTTTAGTGTGAGGTATTCCATCAATAACAGTTTCACATGAGCCTATCGGACCAATACCAAGCTTCTACCCCATGTCCTTATACAGCTGACCTGGCTCAGTAAAAAGACTAAGTATTTTCCATAAAACAACTGAGCAAGTAGTTTTTAGCAAATATTATTTAAAGAAGAGTAAATAGTGCATTTGTTGGGGACTATTGCCAGCTGCGGATTACTACTCATGTGGTGCTAAAGTGAGTTTTTATGGCCACCAGAAGGTGTTTGTGGGATTGACTCAAAATAAACTATAGTGGCCATATTCGTGGTAATGATGTCTGTGGGAGTCAGCCCCAAGCTCATTGATTTCTATTGAAGATGTAATTTAAAAAAACAAAACAAATATATCACTTTATTTTTAAAACATCCTCAGTCATTACCTAAAACAGCTGGGCACTGTAGGTTTTAGCAAACGTTACTCAAACAGGAGTAAATAGTGCATTGGTTAGGGGCTATTTTCCCCTGCAGGATTGGATGTTCTAGTGATTATTTAGTGTGGGATTGTTAAGCACAGAGGAATAAGCTACTTTATGTCAGGCTTTGTAATCACAGACAATACTTAGTTAGTATAGGATCAATTAATTGTTAGGTTTGTATTGACACATGATGCAGTTCATGGATGAAATACCTTTAGATTTCAATTAAATGAAGTAATTGGCCAAAGAACAAATTAATATATTATGGTGCAGATCCAGGATTTGTCAAAAGTGTATGTTAGGGATTTTTTTAAACATTGACCTTATGGACCTATTTGAAATAAACAAATGTTGCACGTGTATAGACGGATTATATATCACTATGTGTATTTTGAATCAAAATACAAAACAACAGACATCTAGGTGTCTAAATATCTGTGCTCTTTGTATTGTCCTGGCTTGACTCTAAGCAAGTTCTTAAACATGTAAATTATTAGCAAATATTATTTGATCTAAGTCTGACCATTTCCATGTGTTTTAATTTAACTTTTTGTTGTCTCATATTTTGCAATCTATTTGATGGATCATCTAAAGGGAGACATTTTAGGTCGATAAGGTCAATAAGGTCTAACTGTAGGCATGGCACTGTTCTTTGTAAAGGTAACACAGTAGATTGCTTGTTATCTTCCTGTCTTTAAATGTTTCTGTAAGTTGCCATATTGGAGCAGAGATTTCTCTACGGTACATTTCTAAAAAGATCCAACATTTTCAGACTTCCGACGAGCCCCACGCGAACAGGGTGCCAAGTTTTCCTCTTACACTTTAACTATGGCTGCCCCCGCTGGACATGTCCTGTTTGCATGTTCTGAAATGAAAATGTGCATGTTGCAAAAGAAGAAAAAAAAAAGGACAAAAAAAAAGGCATTGTTTGACTTCTTTCAGTCCACAATTTGTACAATTTGTTTCCTGGTTGTGTTTTCTGATTATCTAAACACAGGTAAAGTAAAAAAGAAAAAAAAAGGAGCTTGATTAACATTTTATCACAGAACCACCAAAGTGGAAACAAGGCTCCTTCTCAGAAAAGATGTGCCGGAGTGGCTAAATCCTTCGCTGCCTGATCTGTTACTTGACTGTCTCTCTCACAGTCATTTCAACTGTACCTATAGATTTTGTATGAATATAAGTAATTGAATAAAGAGGTATGAATATGAACTTGATTACTGTAGGTTGGGTTTTGATAGCATTTGATTGAATCTGAGTCCTGTATTGAATCTGATACTCCATATTTCTTATTGAATCTTGTTTTGTGTAGCTTTCTGCAATTTTTAAGTAACAGCTGTCAAATAATTTAATATAGCATAATTAAAACACAAACATTTAGATTCGAACAAAAAGTAAGTGTTGCTAGATATATGTTAAATGTGTTTTTTTGGGCAGGTAAAGAAGATTCAACTGATGAATTGTTAAGACTTGGATTTGAATGAATCTTGATTTAATCTTTGGTTTAATCATCTGGGAACTGATACAGATGAAATTTGAAACCCATATCTACTTATGAACCACACAGCCAATCCAATTCTGCTAAACGGATCATGCATAGCTCAGACACACATATGTTGTGATGATGAAGAAGCTAAATTGCTGCCATCATGAGACACTGTAAATCCAAGAGATAAACATTCAGATATACACTCACCTAAAGGATTATTAGGAACACCATACTAATACTGTGTTTGACCCCCTTTCGCCTTCAGAACTGCCTTAATTCTACGTGGCATTGATTCAACAAGGTTGGCCCATATTGATAGGATAGCATCTTGCAGTTGATGGAGATTTGTGGGATGCACATCCAGGGCACGAAGCTCCCGTTCCACCACATCGCCAAGGTGCTCTGTCGGATTGAGATCTGGTGACTGTGGGGGCCAATTTAGTACAGTGAACTCATTGTCATGTTCAAGAAACCAATTTGAAATGTTTCGAGCTCTGTGACATGGTGCATTATCCTGCTGGAAGTAGCCATCAGAGGATGGGTACATGGTGGCCATAAAGGGATGGACATGGTCAGAAACAATGCTCAGGTAGGCCGTGGCATTTAAACGATGCCCAATTGGTACTAAGGGGCCTAAAGTGTGCCAAGAAAACATCCCCCACACCATTACACCACCACCACCAGCCTGCACAGTGGTAACAAGGCATGATGGATCCATGTTCTCATTCTGTTTACGCCAAATTCTGACTCTACCATCTGAATGTCTCAACAGAAATCGAGACTCATCAGACCAGGCAACATTTTTCCAGTCTTCAACTGTCCAATTTTGGTGAGCTCTTGCAAATTGTAGCCTTTTTTTCCTATTTGTAGTGGAGATGAGTGGTACCCGGTGGGGTCTTCTGCTGATGTAGCCCATCCGCCTCAAGGTTGTGCGTGTTGTGGCTTCACAAATGCTTTGCTGCATACCTCGGTTGTAACGAGTGGTTATTTCAGTCAAAGTTGCTCTTCTATCAGCTTGAATCAGTCGGCCCATTCTCCTCTGACCTCTAGCATCAACAAGGCATTTTCGCCCACAGGACTGCCGCATACTGGATGTTTTTCCCTTTTCACATCATTCTTTGTAAACCCTAGAAATGGTTGTGCGTGAAAATCCCAGTAACTGAGCAGATTGTGAAATACTCAGACCGGCCAGTCTGGCACCAACAACCATGCCACGCTCTAAATTGCTTAAATCACCTTTCTTTCCCATTCTGACATTCAGTTTGGAGTTCAGGAGATTGTCTTGACCAGGACCACACCCCTAAATGCATTGAAGCAACTGCCATGCGATTGGTTGATTAGATAATTGCATTAATGAGAAATTGAACAGGTGTTCCTAATAATCCTTTAGGTGAGTGTAACTTTCCTGATTATATGTGTTTCTGCTCTCTGGGAACTAATGCTATGCAGTATAATGGATATTAATGCAAATGAGAACAGAGCACACCTGAAGTAACTGATATTAGAAGCACTCCATACATTCTACAAAGTGATGGGGAGAAATACTCAGTAATACAGATGAGTAATGTATTTGTCAAGTAGCTTTGTCATTCTTGAGAAAACATAACCTGATGATGTCATCAAATGAAAGCGTCTATAATCAGTATTTTTATATTAAAAATGGGTCTTATGAGAAAGGGGTCACATATGATGATGAACCCACAGCGATTCATTACCCAGCTCTGTAGCTGTAGCTAACATTGGCTGTCAATTCATTGTTCAGCTGGACTGCTTTGGTTTACTCTCATAGTGTTTTTGGCAGAAGCAAACTGTACATTGTGAAACCGAACAAGTTCAGAATACTCAAAACAGTAGTGTAAATCATATTTTTAAGTAAACCTTAAATTAAATATAGTACATTTTTTAAAAAAAATTACATTGATTCACTGATGTTTATTAAAAACAGACAGGGAGACCGAGGGAAGCAGGGAAAGCTGGTGTGTTTGCAGTGAGAGACCAGAGGTAAGTGAGTGAGTGCAGGGAGAAGTCAAGGCAGGTGCAAAGCAGGTAAATTTACAAATAATAATAGAAATAATGGGGATTAAAACATGCTTTCACAGGGCAGTATAATGTAAAAAATAAGATGATATTTTTGTGTTGGCGATTGTGGGTCCTCCCCCAAGAAAATTATGTTTTCCAATAAAGAAATGTGCAATTCCACATAATTTTGTAACACTGTTATTACCACATCTGTGAATAAGTAGGAAAATCTGGAGCAGATTTGGAATAAACTACACCCCAAAAGCTAAACTTGCTAAATAAGTCTACTGGGGTTGAATTCTAACCATTAGATCTGGGAAAATTGATGCTCTCCACATTGATTTTATATTCATTGCGCAGCACCGAGCAGTTTTGAGCCTCACCACCTTATAATGACAGGAAAACACTGTTAATATGACATCAGAATCATTACAGATAGGATTATTCATGTTTGCCTTTTGTGTCTTAAGTTATTGCTTTATACATTTCTAGAAATTAACATAAAAAATAGGCAACATGAGAACCACCTGCCTTCTGTGTTATTACAAGCATTTCATTTGTATATAAAAATCCAAAAGAATAATCTCCTCATCAGCATAAAAAGACTAACATTAGTTTGCATCCCTAATTTGCTTTAACTAACCTCAGCTCCTCCATGGTCAACACCGTCCTTTCTTTTTAATGTAATTTAACTATCAAGATGTACAGTATAGGAAAGAGCTGTAACCTGACAACTTAATGCTGATCTTTTCCTCCGCTATTATTATTCTTATTATTAGCAAGTTTTGCTTTTGGGGTGTAGTTTATCCCGATTTTAAAAAATTATGTGGAATTGCACATTTCTTTATTGGACAACAATTTGCATAGTGTGGGACTTCTTATTTATAAAAAATCTTTATTAGCTATCTTTGTTTGCTTATGATTCCATAAAACTACACATTTAAAGCTCCCTTTTATATTATTTAAGTAAAAGTGCTGCTCATGAAATAAAATTATGCGTAGTCGCTTTTTCCACAAAACAGTAAAGTAAGTAGTAAAAGGAAATTTTATTTTGCTCAAGAGATTCTAGTTATTATCACTTAACACCAAACAATTAAGAATCTGGAAATAGAGAATGTTCAACATTATTGCAAAAACGAATGAAAACAAATAGATTATCAAAATTCTTGCTGGTTAATTATCTGATCAAGCAGTCAATTACTTAGTCTATTCAGCTTTATGCAAGATGTGCCTTATTAAATTAAATGTAGAAATGACAGAAGATGTTGAAGGTTTTGATACTAATAAAGATAACTTGAATTGTAATAATTGAGTTGTATTTGCATTTTTGAGGACTACTGTCTGAAAATGGGCATTTTGTAAATTTCAAGTTGACTAGTAGTAATTTTGTTGAGTGAGTTTCCATTAGTATTTGAGTCAAGCACAATTAATTTTTTTGAGTAGATTTCCCTCAGAGTATAAGTTGTGCACAATTACATTTAAGAGTAAAGAATAATTTTAATAAGCATCAGCGAAACATTAGTATGCAGAAATTAAATGTTTAAAAAAGTAGTGTATTTAATTTAAGGTTTTCTCAAAAACATTATTACCACTACTATAAAGGTTTGAGGTAATCAGTTTCCACAAATACTTTGAGTATTCTGAACTTATTTGGGTTTAAAGTGTACACTCCCTGCCCATCACCAAACTGCAAACAGACCAAGTTAGCGACTTGAACGTATTGGAGCAATTAGCAGCTAGAGGTAGATATTTCCCTCAGGAGTTGGTTGAGACCAAAAACAGAGCTAAATTGAGAGGGAGTTCTAGACTTTTTATTTATCAGGTGGACACAAACACAACTCCTGATGAATGATAATATTGCTCTGTCTGTGATTGCTAACAAGTTCGCCTTAAGGACTTAACAGGTGACATGTCAGTGTTGTGTTCAAAGCTTCTTTCCACTTCGCCCAAGTGGCTAAAAAAATGTTTTTGTTGCAGATTTAATGAAAGTGCTCCATTAAGTGAGAAGATTAGGAATAAGACTAGAAAGTACAGTAGAGTGTGGGCTTGTGTGGTACTGTCCAGTAATCCTGTGATTTATGCAAACACAAACAGTATGCATTATTGATGTTTTGTAACTTGTGTTATAAATGTGAGGTTTCATGTGGAACCAATCAGCAGAGAAGTCTCTTACAGACTAAAATGGATCAATCTTCCCTAGAAAGGCTGAACAATTTGCAAGTAAGTTACACAGACAGGCTTTTTTTTTAAATGGGCGGAGGCCCTGCAGGGTTTTAATTGGTCCACATTAGAAAAAAGAGGCGGGGCCCTTATTGCCTCGTTTGGCGCCTCGGTGATGTGATGCAGCTGCAGGAGGATAGAAACTGCTGCAACCTGAGGAGGAGGAGGAGGTGAGGTGAAGAGGATGAGAAGTTAGCACTCCAAGTTCAAAAGAAAAGTGCCGGTCAACAGTGTTCCTCACTCCCGGTGAATGAGAACCACACTACAGCTGGTTTTATGTCCACGACACATTTCGGATCTCTTGTTTGCATGTCGTTAAACCCTAACTACAACGCTGATTAACCCGGGAAGATGTTCAACTGGTTGGTAAGATGGACAGTTTGCCTTCTCGTGTTCAAAACGACGAGCACCGACGATGCAGCGGTGGATTTTGGAGGCGAGTCCGGCTCCGGGATGCTGCAGACAGGTAAGAGTGGTGTGTTACACCTGTGGACCTGTGGTAAATATCTTAAGGCTAAACACGCGTGTTTAGATTAAAAACTTGTCAAGAAGTCTAGTTAATGTATAGACCTGCTCTTTTTAGTGTAAAGTTATAAGATCCAACTTATGTAACAGAAAACCACTGTTGTTCCCTTGAGAACCCACAAATGATAAATTGTGCTATCGTCGTCGTGTGCTCTTCTTCACCATCCTCCAAAAAACGTCCATTTCCCCAGTCATGCCACATTTGCTGATACATTAATAACCTTCAAAACCCAGTCACAACAGCTGCCCATAAAATCAGGTTTTATCAGCTGGAGCTCATTAAATCATTTGTTCAGTGCAGTTTGTGTCCAGATGAAACTCCGCAGCATCAGTCAGTCCGACTTTGACGCTCTGACTCTCTTTGTATTTTCATCTCGTCGCTCACTGCTGTGAGAGTGAAGCCAAAACACTTGCAGACTGAGTGAATAACTTTGTTTGGCATGCTGTGAAGACTCATTTCAGACCACAAGGAAACAATAAGCCTTCAACTATTTTCACTACAGACCAATTATGTTTGATTGCTTTTTCCAATTACTATAACAGCTTCTCAAAGAAAAAAAACAACAACACACTAATTAAGAATTGTTTTAGTTCACATTTGCAGTTTAGTTTACCAGCCTGCAATATCAACAAGTCTCTCCATAAATCTGGGGCCCTTAAAACCCAAATCTGAGGTGTTTCATTTATGTACCGTTCATGCTGTAAAATGCTTCACTGACCATCACCAGCTTTAAATTGATATTATTGCTGCTGTCTTGCCTCTCAATATGCACCTTAATTGTCAAAAAAAAAAAACACTAGGCCGTTGTCAAAGTTACCAAATCCATTGAATCAGCCTGAGCCAAGATAGAATCTGTTTACACTAAATTTGACTGATATGTTTCCTTTTACATGGCCCAAAAGAGATGTCTGGACTTGGATGCATACATCATGCACAACAAAATGTCTTTAGTTTGCAAAACAAACATATGTGGAAACTGATGCCAAGACTCATCCACAGTTATTAAGTCACATGGAATGCCTTTATTCTGCCAAGCAGAGTTAGTTAATCACAACATCGTTTTCCACAGCCAGCTCTGTTGTCTCATCAGTGTTGTCAGTGTCTGGATCTCCTTTGTTCTATCACGACTGTTGATACTGCGTACGTACTGCAGCTTTACGTTGTGTTTCTGAGCCGCATTGGAGTTGTTAAATCCATCCTAAGACCTGTTGAAATTGATCTTAGACTGGAGCTCTGCCAGGCGCCCGAGTATGTCGTGTCTGGATTCCACAGCATCATACATATTGTTTATTTTACAGTTTGGTCTTTATCATATTTCCTCATTGCAATCATATGTGTGTTAGAGCCACACAGGAGACCCAAACAGAGATGTCAGAGAGCGGGGAACCAGCTGAGAGTTTGGATTAGAGCGGTGAGGTGACAGATGAGACCTGCAGCGTGTTGATTGAACCTGGCCTGTTGAATGTTTTCACTGTGTGTTTTCAGAGAGGTAATGTAGATGGCAGAGCGTTGTGTAAACTTTTACTGAATCTCAGTGAATAGGCTGATGGTTATGTAACACTGCAGTAATAATCTTCATGCGTTTACTGTTATTGTTTGGATTCCTCAGTTAAATCTCGCCCTCTTCCAGATGTAACTGAGCTCATTTTGGAATGTGTGATTGCAGATACAGTTAATATGGTGAAAACCTGAATATGAGACAGCATATGCTCTAAGAGTGATTGTGAGTTTATCCCAAGCCAATGTTAATAATGTAATGTGGTGGTGTGATGCTCAGCTTCTGGGGGTTACTGGAGATGCTCAGTGATGCTCAGTGATGTGCGTTTTTTTGTGTTTTGAATGAAATCATCATCAGGCAAGAACAACAAGGTCTTGGATACCATAATGGCTAAAAGACAAATGCATAGTACCAAAAACTGAGAGATTCTGCATCCTGTTGGCTACTTGCTCACTTTATTAGATACTTTTAGGACTGGACAATATGGCCAAAAATGTCATCACGATATCACGATAAAAGGTTTCATATCTTTTGATATCGATATTTATCTCGATAAGTATCAAATCGTTATTTCTTGTTTAAAGGATGATTTTTGCTCCTGAGTGAAAGTTCAAGAAACCTGAGGATTCATTTTGGTTTAAACACTTCTTTATGGTCATCACTTGATGCCAAACAGAGGGTCACTTCACAAATCTGAGGTAGAACATTCAAAACAGTTATGATAAAATCTTTGTCAACAAATATTCATCAGTGAAATTAAGTAAAAGTTTTTTTTTTGTCCTTTTTCCTCAACAAAATAAGGACTGAAAAACTGAATAAAATCAGACATTTATTGAATATTTATTATTTATTATGAACATTTGTTATATTTAAAAAATTATATCGCAATAATTATTATTGTTTTATTGTCCGGCCCAAGTTACTTTATTAGATTAAACATCGTGACAGGACTTTGGATAAGTCAGTCAGCTTGTTTGATATGCAGGGTTGCTGTTGTTGAACTTCCCACAGGTCTTCTCCATATTCCTGTGTTTATACACCTTTTAAGTACATTTTAAAATACATTTATCGCATATTTATTGTCCTGATTTATCAGAGGTATACACACTGAGAACAATAGCATAAAAGCATCTGTTCAGTAGTTGTACATAGCACCTTTCAGATAGCCTAGGTTAGGGAGGAGTAAAGAAAGAGGGAACAGGTGAGCCTACCAAGTATCCACCGCTGTGATCTGTTGCGCAAGAGTCAATCACCTACATATTTGAACCCTCTCTGACTGCAATGAATCACATATACTACACATGAAGCATTCCTTTTCACTCAGGTTTGAAGAACTGCATTCGTTGACGCAATGATGCTTAACCCAAAATTCCTCTGCAGGTGATTTATCTGTTCTACCATCATTATTGTCAAACCACCTCTGATTTGACTTTGAAGCCTCCGTCTCTGTGCGCTGAGCATGCACCAATGTGCTCAGCCTGGTAGTGCATAGACAACTCTGTGCCTTCAATCCCATCTGACAAGAGTCTGTGGAAGTTCCATATAGTTTTTGCCCTACCATATGTGTGGCATAAGAATGGTGATTCTGTCCATCCAACTCTTAAGTTTAGAGGAAGATGTGTCGACATTAGCCAGGTTTCCATTCTAATGCAATGCAAATTGTATCAGAATTTCCAGGAAATAAAAACTGTGCGCTTCCATCCACTATTGCCATTAAAACACTGCAGAGGAAGACAGCCCAACTAGCTGATGTGATTAAAATAATGCCAGTGACAGCTCAAACGGTGTAAAACCTGATGGAAATGTTTATTTGTTTATTTGAGTAATGTTACAGTGTCCTCATCGCCCCACACACAGATGTGATGTTTCTGATGGAAGCTTCAGTGGAGGTTTGTAAGTCACATGCTTCATATATGCCATAATTTGCTTATTGTCTGTTTCCATAGCTGCATTTTGTTCTTACACCTCCTTGGATACTTGTGAGCTTTTCTCTAGTGCCACCTTCTGGTTTACTTTTTTACTTTTCATTTTGCTTATAAGGTGTCAAAAACTAAAGCTTTTCTGGAACTTCATGAGGATGTCCATGATTCTCTCATGACAAATCCTAATATTTTAGGCTTTTCCTCCAGCATCAGGTCAAACTTTTCACTTGAACTTAAGAACCCAAAAATTAAAAACAGGAGATTCCAATGAAATTTTCAGCCTGATAATAGCCCGGGCTTTTATTTGCTTAAATCACTGAATTGACGCCTATATTTGGGGAAGGCGTCCATATGGGACAGGCCTTTAATTCCTTTTGCACAAAACTGAAATAGGCTACTATGAAACAGTTTACTTATTTCGAACAGTATGAATATCACTTGTATAAAAATCAAATAATATTAAATTCACGTCATTCATTTGATCTAGCTCCAACAGACGGCTTATGCACTTTTATATTGTAGGCACCAACGTAACGAAAACAAACATAACCAACAACACGGTGCAGAGAAAAGTGTGGCAGAAGTTAGCACACAGAGAGTGATGTACTTCACATGACAGTATTCACAACTATTTTTTATGAAAAGTCTTTTGATCGTTGGACCCTTAAAGAGTAAAGGAATTTAAAAATCAAGGAACGGACACATTCGGACTCACCTAACCAATCTAGCGATGTGTAGCATGTCCATACTGATCATAAGTTTAAACATAAATATTTCTATGCACGATCTAAGCAGCTTAGAAGGAGCAAAAGCAGGCGACCCAGCGGGGGTTAAGAGGTTTTATACATCCAATAAAACAGACCAGGTGTCTAATGGAGACCTGCGTTTATTTGTCAAAATATGTCCCCACACCAGACCTGTAAACGGGGTAGGTGGCTATTTGGGACTCAGCTCTTAATTAGTTTTACGGTATATTCTGTGATTGACTTTTGGGCACAGTTGCCTGCCTCTATTCCTCCTTGAATTAAGGCTTTTCTGTCATTTCCAATCCATCCGTCCATCCTTCCAGCGAGCCATATCTAGCTGTGATATGTGGCTCCCATATGTCAGGAATAGCCTCTGACCCTACGAGATAGGTATCGCTAGAGCACCGTATGCAGAACAGCTGCTGGGAAGAGTTTTGTGATGCTTAAAAGAGGAGTGCCTGCGTCTGAGTGTCTCCATACCTCTCACAATCACCCATCCACTCACCAAACCTCTACCCTAGCACTAACACACTTTCTTCAGAAGTGGAAATTGCTGACTAACCTTCTTGACCTTCTCTGTGAGAGTGTCAGTGGAGGTCCCACATGGAGAGGCTCTGAGCGGTCTTTTCATGTGTCTCAAGTGCATTCTTTGGGAATTTGGGAAGGCATTATTTCACAGACATACTTGTAAGACTCTTAAAAATTGTTTTCAATTATATATAATATGGATGACATAAATGTGCTTTAGATTATCAAACTTCAGAAAGGTTTGCC